CTCCACGTTCATCCCTAATAGGGGTTTCCCCCGCCGCCAAGCCCCGCCCACCCGCACCCCGCCAGCCAATGGCGTGCCGGCGCGCGCCGCCAGAGGCCCCGCCCCGTGCCAGCTCCCTGGGGGCCCCCCCCGTCCCGCCGCCACCGCCCGCTCGGTGCCGCCCGGTCCCGTCATGGAGTCCAGCGGGACCCAGAGCTGCCCCGCCACCTGCGTCGCCTTCAGCCGCACCCGGAAGGGGCTGGTGCTCATCGGCGAGATCGTGAGACACGGGGGGCACGGGGGTGGGGGATCCAGCGGAGTGGGCACCGGGGGGGCGGGCGGGACACACGGGACACGTCTGGGTCCTGCTGGGGGCGGGGGTGGAGCGGGATGCCCCGGTCCCTGTCCGGAGGGGCACGGTGACTCGCTGCCCGGTTCTTTTGTGGTGGGGGGACACGCCTGGGCGCTCATCCGGGGGGCAGGGGGATCCGTGAGTCCCGGTTTGGGGCGGGGCAGGATGTCTGGGATCACCGTTTTTGGCGGGGAGGATACCTGGATCCCATTTTGGGGGCCCCGGACACCCCGACACGTGGGTCCCCGTTTCTATGCAGGGGCGGAGGAGCGGGATGGCGGATCGCGGTTTTGACCGGGTCCCTGCTTTGGAAGGGATCGGGACACCTGCGTCCCCATTCGGGGGTCAGCGGGACCCCGGCTCCCCTCGGGGGATGCCCGGCTCCCGGAGCGCTCCCGGAGCGCTGGGGCCGCCACGTGCAGTGCGGGAGTCGGGTGTCCGGGGGTGGGTGACAGCCCCGCAGTGTCCCTGTGCCGCGGGACACCGCAGGCACCCGCTCCCCCCGCCACTCCCGGTGCCGTTTCGGGCGCGTGGAGGGGCACCGCCCTTAGGAGAGGGGGTGGGGCGGGGCAGGGAAGGTGAGAAGGGCGGGGCCGGGGGCCCTGGCTGGGAAGGCGGGAGGGAGCCCGGATGTCTGGGCAGCGCCCGGGGACAAGCGGGGTTCGGGCGGTGCCCGGCCCGCCGTGCCAGCCGTTATTGCGCCAGCCCGGGTGGCGCTCGCCGCGTCACGGCCGGGAGCGGCCCTTTAAGGCACCCCGACCTCTGCCCCTTTAAGAGCCCCCAGCCCGGCGGGCCCCACCCACGCCATCGCCCCTTGAAGGGTGGGTGTGGGGGGGGGGGGGGGGCGTTGTTGTGCCGTTGCCATGGTGACCGTTGCCTGGAGACGGCCCCGCCCCGGCGCTCCCACAGCGGCGCCCTTGTCCCGACGCCCACGCGGGGCCGGGGACCCACGGGGGAAACGGGAAGGGCCCACAGGGGGCGCTATGGGGGGGGACAGGGGGGTCCGACAGGGGATCCCATAGCAGCCTATTGGGGGGAGGGGGTGTCTATAGGTGACCCCACAGCACGCATTGAGGGCGCCATGGGACATCTATAGGTGGCCCCACAGCAGAATCAAGGAAGTGCTCTCAGAGTCTTTAAGCGACAGCCCTAAACCTGTCGGGCCCTATAGGATAAGGCTCGGGATCCCCATAGGGGCCGCTATAGGCATTCCCCTGGCAGTCATCCATGGGGTCTGTAGGCAGCGCTATAGGGGTCTCTGCATGGTCTCTGCATGCACCAGAGAGTCCCTACTGACCCTTTATGTTCCTTTAGGGAGCCTGGGTGGAGCTCACAGAGGCCTATAGGGCACACATCCCATAAGGGCTGTGCATGTATAATGGGGTCAGGGCATGGCACAGGGGGTCTCTGTGGGGTCTCTGGGGGGCTCAGAGGGATCCTGGGTGGAGCTCACACACCCACAGGCCTATAGGGCACAGAGCACAGATCCCATAGGAGCTGCGCCTGTATAATGGGGTCAGGGCATGGGGGGTCTCTGTGGGGTCTAAGAAGGTTCAGAAGGAGCCCAGGGATCCCGGGTGGAGCTCATAGGGGCCTATAGGGCACACATCCCATAAGGGCTGTACCTGTACAATGGGGTACACGTCTCTGTGGTGTGGGGGGATCCCCTATAGATCCCATACGTGCCTGTCCCCAGGTGCTGTGCCTGTACAATGGGGTACAGGTGGCTGTGGGGGGATCCCCTATAGATCTCATAGATCCCATATGTGCCTGTCCCCAGGTGCTGTGCCTGTACAATCGGGTACACGTGTCTGTGGGGAGATCCCCTATAGATCCCATACGTCCCTGTCCCCAGGTGCTGTGCCTGTACAATGGGGTACAGGTGGCTGTGGGGGGATCCCCTATAGATTCCATACGTCCCTGTCCCCAGGTGCTGTGTCTGTGGGGGGATCCCCTATAGATCCCATACGTGCCTGTGCCCAGGTGCTGTGCCTGTACAACGGGGTACACGTGTCTGTGGGGGGATCCCCTATAGATCCCATACGTGCCTCTGCCCAGGTGCTGTGCCTGTGGGGGGATCCCCTATAGATCCCACACGTGCCTGTCCCCAGGTGCTGTGCCTGTGGGGGGATCCCCTATAGATCCCATACATCCCTGTCCCCAGGTGCTGTGCCTGTGGGGGAATCCCCTATAGATCCCATCCGTCCCTGTCCCACAGGTGCTGTGCCTGTACAATGGGGTACAGGTGGCTGTGGGGGGATCCCCTATAGATCCCATCCGTCCCTGTCCCCAGGTGCTGTGCCTGTGGGGGGATCCCCTATAGATCCCATCTGTCCCTGTCCCCAGGTGCTGTGTCTGTGGGGGGATCCCCTATAGATCCCATCCATCCCTGTCCCCAGGTGCTGTGCCTGTACAATGGGGTACACATGGCTGTGGCTGTGGGGGGATCCCCTATAGATCCCACACGTGCCTGTCCCCAGGTGCTGTGCCTGTGGGGGGATCCCCTATAGATCCCATCCATCCCTGTCCCCAGGTGCTGTGCCTGCTGACCCTGGTGTGTTTCGGGGCGTCCCGCACGGGTTACGTGGGGCTGGCAGTGGTGGAGCTGGTGTTGGCTGCGCTGGTGCTGCTGGCCTGGAGCTGCCGCCTGCCGCAGCGCATGCAGCTGCTGCACTGGGGCTGGAGCGTGAGTGCCGGGGAATGGGGGTTTGGGGGGGATTACAGGGGTTTGGGGGGGCTGGGGAGGGGTTTGGGGGGGCTGGGGAGGGGTTTGGGGGACTCTGGGGGGGAGCTGGGGAGGGGTTTGGGGAGCACTGGGGGCTTGGGGGAGGGTTGGGTGTTCCTGCAGTGGCTGAGTGGGGCAGTGTCCCTGGGGATTGGGGGTCCCCAGAGAGTCTGGGAGTCCCTGGGGGGAACCCCTGGAGGTGGGGGGGTCCCCAGAAGGTTTGGGGGTCTCTGAGGGGTCCCATGTTTGCCTCCCAGGACTTCACACGCTGCGTCATCGGGGGCGTGCTCTTCCTCATCATCTCCCTCATCGTCATCATCAGCCACCGTGACGGGGCCGGCATCGCGGGAGGGGTGAGGGGGGAATTTGGGGGGCTTGGGGGGGGGGCTCTGACCCCCCCCTCGGGTGTTGGGGCTCCTGACCAGGGGGTTGAGGGGGTACAGGGGGGGTTTGAGGGGTCTCTGACCCCCAGAGTGTTTGGGCTCCTGGCTGAGGGGGGGTTTGTGGGTATAGGGGGGGCTTGGGAGGTGCCAAGGAGGGGTTTGGGGGTCTCTGATCCCCCCAGTCTTGAGGACTGAGGGGGGTTTGGGGGTCTCTGACCCCCCCCAGTCTCTGGGCTCCTGGCCAGGGTGTAGGGAGGGGGTTGGTTGGCGGCTGCAGGGGTTTTGGGGGGACACAGGGGAAGTTTGGGTGTCTCTGATCCCCTGTACCCCCAGGTGTTCGGGCTCCTGGCTGGGATCCTGCTGGGATATGACGCCTACATCACCTTCCCCCTACGGCAGGGCCACACCGCCGCCCCCACTGGTGCGTACTGGGAGCACTGGGAAGGGGCTGCTGCCCTGGGGGGGGTACTGGGAGCACTGGGAGGGACCTACAGTGGAGAGCTGGGAGCACTGGGAGTGGGGAGAACTGGGAGAACTGGGAAAGGGAGGGTGGCCCTGCTGGTGGAACTGAGGGGAACATACAGGGGAGAACTGGAAACACTGGGGAGGGCATTGCTGAACTGGAAACACTGGGAGGGCATTGGGGGGAGACCCCGGGCTGGGGATCCCCAGAGGGTTTGGGGGTCCCTGGGGGTGTAACCAATCCCCACTTTGTCCCCTTCCAGAGTCCCCAGAGGGTGCCTGAACAAGCCAAGAACCCCAACGGAGCCCTCCCCAAACCTCGCCCTGCACAGGGGGACCCCCAGCCTTAAATTATTGAGGGGTCCCGACGCCTGGGTCCCCCCGGGTGGGGGGGCAGGGGGTCCCTCAGGGGTTGCCCCTCCCTCAAATGCCTTTGCAAGTGCCTTGAACCGCCCGTGCCTCAGTTTCCCCCTGGGGACACCCCCTCAGGTTTAAAGGTGCCCTTGCCCTTCATGGGTTTTGGGGTGCCCGCCTCAGTTTCTGGGGTGCCTCCGTTAGTTTTTGGGGTGTTCCCCCCCCGCGCCTCCCGCCCCCGCCCCCCGCTCCCCCAGCCTGCAGGAGGCTTTTGGGGGCAATATATTGGGAAATAAAGGGGTTTTATTACTGCATTACCGGTTCTGGTGTGTCTGTCACGGTAACAGCCTGTGTCTATAGATCCTGAGGGGGCTCCTCCCATCATGGACCCCAAACCCCACAGACCACAGCTCGCCCCAAACCTTCCCATTATGGTCCCACCTGGTGAGAGAATCCTCTCCCCTCATGGAAAAAGGGCTGGAGATCCTCCTTGGCCCAGGAAAAAGGGAAGGAAAACCCTTCCCTCCTCTCCTTAGGGAGAAAGGGCAGGAAACTTCCCCTCCCCTCACTGAAAGAGGGAGGAAAGTCCTCCATCCCTCACGGAAAAAGGGAAGAAAGTCCTCCATCCCTCACGGAAAAAGGGAAGAAACCCCTCAATCCCTCATGGAAAAGGGCAGGAAACTTCCCCTCCCCTCATGGAATAAGGGAGGAAACCCTTCCAGCCGTCATGGAAAAGGGCGGGAAACTCCCCATCCGCTCACGGAAAAAGGGAGGAAATCCACCCCTAATGGAAAAAGGGAGAAAACCCTTCCAGCTCTCACAGAAAAAGGGAGGAAAGTCCTCCATCCCTCACGGAAAAAAGGGAGGAAACCCCTCCACCCGTCATGGAAAGAGAGATGAACCCTCTCCACCCCTCACGGAAAAGGGCGGGAAACTCCCCCTCCCCTCACGGTAAAATGGAGGAACCTCGTCCAGCCCTCACGGAAAGAGGGAGGAAAACCCCTCCACCCTTCACGTTAAAACGGAGGAACCCCCTCCACCCCTCACAGTAAAACAGAGGAAGCCCCTCCAGCCCTCATGGAAAAAGGGAGGAACACCCTCGCCTGTCTCACGGAAAGAGGGAGGAACCCCCTGCACCCCTCACGGCTCCCGCACAGCTTCAGAGGGGCAGGAAACTCCCCGCTCCCCTCACAGAAAAGGGAGGAACCCCCTGCACCCCTCACGGCTCCCGCACAGCTTCAGAGGGGCAGAAAACTCCCCGCTCCCCTCACAGAAAAGGGAGGAACCTCCTGCACCCCTCACGGCTCCCGCACAGCTTCAGAGGGGCAGGAAACTCCCCGCTCCCCTCACAGAAAAAGGCGGGAAACCCCCAGACAACTCGCGCCCCGCCCCGCGCATGCGCAGTACCAAAAGGAGCTCCCCCCCCATCCCCCGCCCGCCCTCCCCTCACGCTTCCCGCCGCGCGCACGCGCCCCACGCCCGCCGCCCGCCTCAGCCGCTGCCGCCCGCTCCGCCCTCACCGCTCCCGCCGCTTCCGTTCCTCTTTCCTCCCGCGGCTGCTCCCCGGTCCTTCCCCGGTGCTTTCCGGTACGGCGGCGGGCGGTAGGGGCCGGGCGGGGCGGCGGGGGGGGAGGTTGTGAGGGGGAGGGGGAGCGGCGCGCGCCGGGGTGGGCGGGGGCCGCGCGTGCGCGGCCGTTGCGCCAGGGGGCGGTGACGCCGGGGCTGCGCATGCGCAGTGGCTCGGTGAGGGTTTGTGGTGAATGTAGGATTTAATTTCAAATTACCGCGACTTAAATTAATGGGATTTGAGGGGTTTGTAGGGGTGTGAGCAGCCCTGGGCACCCCGCATAACCCGTGGGTGTGGGAGCCACAGGATCTTCCTGGATTCCCCCGTTTTTGTGTGCCCCCCGCATCTAAACAGCGGTGTGTTTAGGGTATGGGCAACAAATAAACGGCAGAACCTATAAATAAATAACAGGGCGCACAAATAACGAAATGTGTAGAGATTACAGCGCTACGGGTAGGGGGTGTTATAACCCCGGCTGGGGCTTGGGGTGCCCCCCTTTGTGGTGTCCCCGTTTGTCGATTCCCCCCTTTTATGGGGTGTCCCCGTTTTTGGAATGTCCCTGTTAATGGGGTATCCCCGTTTATGTGTCTCCGTTTTTGGGGTGTCCCCGTTTATGGGCATCCTCGTTTATGGTATTCCCGTTTACGATGTCTGCGTTTACGGGTACCCTCTCTTAACGGGGTGTCCCTGTTAAAGGGGTGTCCCCGTTAATGGGGTACCCCCGTTAATGGCGTCCCCATCGTTTTTGGGGTGTCCCCGATAATGGGGTGTCCCTGTTTTTGGGGTGTCCCCGTTTATAGGGTGTCCCCGTTAATGGGGTTCCTGTTAATAGGGTATCCCTGTTAATGGGGTGTCTCTGTTAACAGGGTGTCCCTGTGTTTGGGGTATCCCAATTAATAGGGTGTCCCCGTTAATAGAGTGTCCCCGTTAATGGGGTGTCCCTCCGGTTAATGGGGTGTCCCCGTGTTTGGGGTGTCCCAAATAATAAGGTGTCCCTGTTAATGGGGTGTCCTGATTAATAGGGTGTCCCTGTTAATGGTGTCCCTGTTAATAGGGTATCCCCGTTTCTGGGGTGTCCCCCGGCAGTTTGGGGTGCCATGGGGGGCTCCTCCAAGGACAAACGGGACATTTATTACCGGCTGGCCAAGGAGTGCAGTGTGGGGTGTCCCCCATTAGCAGTGTCCCCGTTTCTGGGGTGTTCCCCCGTTAATGGGGTGTCCCCCGGCAGTTTGGGGTGTCCCCCCGCAGTTTGGGGTGCCATGGGGCGCTCCTCCAAGGACAAACGGGACATTTATTACCGGCTGGCCAAGGAGGGCGGCTGGAGAGCCCGCAGTGCCTTCAAACTGCTGCAGCTGGAGCAGCGCTTCCAGCTCCTGAGGGGTACGGGGGAGTGGGGGACATTGGGGGAATGGGGGGAACTGGGAGGGACTGGGGGGATTGGGGGAATGGGGGGATTGGGGGAATGGCAGGAGTGGGGGAGATTGGGGAATGGGGGGAACTGGGAGGGACTGGGGGGATTGGGGGAATGGGGGGAGATTGGGGGAATGGGGGGACTGGGAGGAACTGGGGGGACTGGGGGGACATGGGGAATGGGGGAACTGGGAGGAAAGGGGGGGGAATCAGGGCGAGTGGGGGGACTGGGGGAATGGGATAGAATGGGGGGACTGAGGGGAATAGGGGGGAATGGGAGAACTGGAGGAGTGGGGGGGACTGGGAGGGACTGGGGGAATGGGAGGAATGAGGGGAGCTGGGGGGACTGGGAGGGAGTGGAGGTGAATGGGGGGAATTGGGGGTGGGAAAATGGGGGCCTGGGGAAATGGGGGGATTGGGGGTGAATGGGGGGATTGGGAGGGACTGGGGGAATGGGGGAGTGGGGGGAACTGGGGACACTGGTGTAACTGGTGTGACTGGGATCACTGGTCTAACTGGTCTAACTGGTTTAACTAACTGGTGTAACTGGTCTAACTGGTCTAAACTGGTGTAACTGGGCTCCCAGGGGTCCAGCGGGCTGTGGATCTTTGTGCTGCCCCCGGGAGCTGGAGCCAGGTGCTGAGTCGGCACCTCAGGTGGGACTGGGAGCACTGGGAGCATGGGGGACACTTGGGGGACACTTGGGGGCACTGGGAGTACTGGGGGGCACTGGGAGCACTGAGAGCCCCAAACTGGGGCTCTGGGGGTGCTGGTTTTGGGGTCCTAGGCTGGGAATGGGAGCACTGGAGCCCCAGCTGGGGGCACTGGGAATCCTCCTTTGGGGTCTGGCACTGCCAACTGGGTGAACTGGGAGGACTGGGAATCCGGTTTGGGACTGGGGGGCTCAGGGAGGTTTGGCTGGGGGGCACTGAGGGTCTGGGGGGGCACTGGGGGGTACTGGGGGGGGTCCCAGGGGTACCCAGCCCCCCCTGCCCCCCCAGGGGCTCCGAGGGCTCCCCAGCCCAGGTGGTGGCCGTGGATCTCCAGGCCATGGCGCCGCTCCCGGGGGTGCTGCAGATCCAGGGGGACATCACCAAGGTGGGGACACCCCCCAAAACCCCCACCTGAGCCCCCCCCAAACGTCCTGATCCCCCCCAAACCCCCTGAGCTCCCCCAAAACCCCCTGAGCCCCCCAAACGTCCTGATCCCCCCAAAACCCCTGAGCTCCCCCAAATTCCCCTGAGCCCCTCAAAACCCTCTGAACCCCCCCAAATTCCCCCTGAGCCTTGCTATGGCCCCCCCATCCCGGGCAACATCACCAAGGTGGGGACCCCAAAACTCCCACCTGAGCCCCCCCCAAAGCCCTCTGAACCCCCCCAAACCCTCTGAACCCCTCCTGAGCCCCCCCCCCAAACCCCCCCTGAGCCCCCCTGACCCCATTCCTCCTCCCAGACCCAAATTAATCCTCCAGACCCCATTTACCCCCTCTAGACCCCATTACCCCCCACCCAAAACCCCATTTCCCCCTCTGCCCCCTGTGCCCCCCAGAGCCCATTCCTGACCCCATTCCTGACCCTATTCCTGACCCCATTCCTGACCCCGTTCCTGCCCCCATTCCTGACCCCATTCCCCCCGTGCCCCCCAGGCCCCCAGACCCCAATAACCCCCCCAGACCCCATTAACCCCATTCCTGACCCCATTAACCCCATTCCTGACCCCATTCCTGCCCCATTCCTGACCCCATTCCTGACCCCGTTCCTGCCCCCATTCCTGACCCCATTCCCCCCGTGCCCCCCAGGCCCCCTGACCCCAATAACCCCCCCAGACCCCATTAACCCCATTCCTGACCCCATTCCTGCCCCATTCCTGCCCCTGTTCCTGACCCCATTTCCCCTGTGCCCCCCATTTACTGCTCCCTGATCCCGTTTCGCCCCCAGACCCCATTCCTGAGCCTCTGACCCCATTCCTGACCCCATTCCTGAGCCTCTGACCCCATTCCTGACCCCATTCCTGAGCCTCTGACCCCATTCCTGACCCCATTTCCCCCCCATGCCCCCCAGGCCCCCAGTGTTGCCATGGTGACCTGGTTCAGGAGGTCCAGCATGGTGACCCAAGGCCAGGGTCACTCGGTCCAATGCCACACACACCAATGTGGTGGACAGCAAATGGCGTTTATTGAGGGGTCTCAGGGGCATTTATGGACTAAGGGGTTTCTCTACGTCAGAAAGGGGTTTGGCTGTACTTTCTAGGGTTAGGATGAGTGGAAAGTTACTGGCATCTATAGGTTAGGGGGGGCTACATGTTTGGCTACATTCCAAGGGTGATCCTTATCTCTGGCAGAGGGGCAGAAGGATTCCTGTAATTTCCCGTCACAGCCCGAAATCTCCGAACGCCTGTCCCTTACCTACCACACTTCCCCCCCCTCTTTCACAGGTGAAGCACTGAAATGAGGTAGGAGGTTGAGATCTGACTAGGGAAAGGGTCTTGGGAAACCTGAGTAAGTTTCTGCCAGGCAAGTCTCTGGTGACTGGCAGCGTTCCCTGTTGGATTCACAGGAATTGTGGCTGTCCCATGAACAGGATGTTAGCCCGTTCTATGCGGGCCTGAACGAATGAGACCAGCTTGTTCAGCAGGCATGGCCCAAAGGTAATAGCTAAAAGCAGCATTGCCAATGGACCTATTAGGGTAGAAATTAGGGTGGTTAGCCATGGTGATTGATTGAACCAGGATTCGAACCAGCCTGTTCAGCTTCTCTATCTGCTTTCCTTAGGTTTAGCCGATTTCTCAGTTCGGCCATGGAGTCTCTGACGACTCCGGTGTGGTCTGCATAAAAGCAGCATTCCTTTTTCAAGGCAGCACACAGGCCCCCTTGCTGCATGAGTAAGAGGTCCAGTCTTCTCCTGTTTTGGAGGATAATCTCTGAGAGTGAGGAAAGGGATTTTTCCAGGGAAGAGATGGATTTCTCGATCCTTTGCAAGTCCTCATCAACTGTCATCTGCAGTTGTGCCAGTCCCTGATGTTGTGTTGCAAGGGCCGAGATGCCTGTGGCAGCGCTGGTAGCTCTTAAACCGAGGAGCATTGCGATGGTGACGCCTGTTATCACCTCTCGTTTGTAGAGCCGGTTGGGTTCCTCGAACAAGCGGTACACCTCTTCTTCTTGGCGATACAGGACTCTGGGGACAATTAGAACTTGGACACAAAAGTCAGTAGAATGATCAAATTTGTCAAGGAGTACACATGGGCTTACCCGGATTTGTGGCAGACCCACATTCCCGATGCAGCTGGGATCACCCACTGGAACTTCCCTCCCTTAAGTTTGACGAATTCCTTGCAGACGTTGCCCATCTGCTTTGCCAAGGTTGCATTGCAAAGCATTTGCCCTGGCCCGTAACCTGACTTAGGGTGATACCTCTCCGGGGGGCGTCCCATCTGCATTGGTGTGGATTGTTTGACTTAGAGAAGATGAACGGGAGATCGAAGGCAACACCTTCGTAAAAAGGGGGTTGTGCATCATAGCATAACCAGCATGATTCTGTCAAGTTCGGGTTGGATTGGTTTAACGATAAGAAGGTAGCATTTAACACGCTTAAGAATGGACTGGAGGGGGTTGGTTTGGTTAAGAGATCGGATGGGGAGGCTAGTTTCGACCTCTGTGTTTCGTGGCTAGAACTACCAGCTGCGATCTCTTCCCTGGGTCTGCTTACTACTAGAACCCGGGTTGGGTCCGGCTGATTGGGATACTGAAGCTGGGAGTCTGATAATTTGTATGTTTGCCCAGATGCCGCGGTTAGGGAGATGAGCATACGCTGTCCACACTTTACCTGTGCCCAGGCATCATGGGTGGGCTGCAGGATTGTCATTATATAACCTGTGCAAGTGTGCTGTCTCAAGCCTCCGGGCATAAGCACATACCCATCTCCGTCATATTTTGGTTCGATACAGCCGTGTGGAGTGTACTTAATTTGCAGGAATTTATCCGGCTGTTGAGGCGTCCATCTATTGCTTATCACAATAGTTTCACACCCCCAATGTCCACAATATCCATGCCCTGGGTAATTACAATAACTTTTTCCTGGGTTGGAAGCAGGGCACCAGTACATCCCAAATACTGTTGTCTCCTGAAATCTGGGGTGCCCTGTATGCATGGGGAAAATGTCTTTTAACCTGAACTCGAAAGATGGGGTGTCGGCTGTAACAATTTCTTTGATGACCCCCTCACCTGAGAGATGGCGTAGAACCCACCTGAATGGCTGGTGAGGGTAATGTTTTGTGTCTGCTTGTCCTCCGCCTACTAACCCTAGAAACAAGATTACACAGAGATACCGTTGCTGCTTTAACTTTGATGGCGCGAGCTTCTCAGGTGATGTCGGGTTCCTCGATGGCCTCTCTCTCTTTCCGTAGTGGGGCATTTGAGTTTTGGGGACGTCCAATGATCCAGTCCTGCAAACAAAGTCTCTCAATTCTCATGAGTTTCTCTATGAAGGTCTGGTTTGATAGATTTTAGTGGACACCATTTAATGTCCCCATCCTTTTTAACGGCCGCATATCCCCGCCCCGTGAGCACCAATCTCCAACCCTGTTCCCACTCCCTAGTTCATTTTTGATCACCACCCGTGGGCCTTCCTCTAGCGCCCGAGTGGCCCAGTGTCTCTGAGCAGGACTGTTTGTTTCGTCCCCCCTAGGGAATTGATTTAACGCTAGCAGCAGTTGCCAGCATGCGCGCCTGGTCACCGGGGGGAATGGCACTGGTGAAGCCTTCTGCCTTTGCTAGCACTTCCAGCTTAGTTTTCAGAGTCTGGTTTGCTCTTTCGACGATGGCTTGCCCGGTGCTGTTGTATGGGATGCCATGCACCAAGGCGATGTTCCATTTCGAGGCGAATGCTTGGACTACCTTTGAGACGAAGTTTGGGGCCGTTATCTGTTTTGATCTGTTTTGGAACTCCAAGCCATGCCATGGCTGTTAGCCAATGTTGGATGGTCGCTTTGGAATCGGTCTTGAGATGCTGTGTGGCCACGATCATGCCGCTGTACATATCTACGGTAACCGCGAGCCACGCTCGGGGTTTCAACAGCTGGCATTGTGTAAAGTCTGTTTGCCATATTTCTGAGGCTTTGAGGCCTCTGGGGTTGACGCCACTCGACCACAGTGGCGACTTCTGGCAGTGGGGGCACGTAGCGACGACGTGCTTTGCGTCCACGGTAGAAATCTCGCACCTTTTCGCAAGCGCTTTAGCTCCGATGTGAAGGGATTCGTGCAACTGGCGAGCTTCTTTCAGTGTCCATACGCCCTTTGCGGCGGCATCAGCCTTGTCGTTGCCTGTTTGGTAGAATCCTTTGACCGGGTCGTGGCTGTTGACGTGGATGACTGATATGGTGCCTTTCTGTGAATAGAGTGCTTCCTCCATTGGAAGCATAGGTTGGGCCGCTGGCTGTTTGGGAAGACGATGGAGAAGGCGAAACGCTCCTTGTCGTCTTCGTGCAGGGGAATAGAAAAGAAGCAGTCTTTGATGTCGAGCACTGCACAGGGTTGTCCTTTCGGTATCACAGAGTTCATGGGCAGCAAAGTCTGCACAGGGCCCATAGGCTGGATTCTCTTGTTCACTTCTCGCAAGTCGTGCAGGAGTTGAAAGCCTTCACCAGATCGCTTAGGTATTACGAAGATAGGAGTGTTCCATGGACTCGTGGAGGGTTCTATATGATTCTTGTTTAATTCACGGCTAACTAACTCAATGAGGGCAGTCATTCGAGGCGTTGACAAGGGCCACTGTTCGACCCACACTGGGTCGGCTGATTTCCAAGTCAGCTTGATGGGCGATGGCGGGTACGCGACAGTGGCCCTTAGAATAAATTTGTCACCCTAACATCCAGCAGGGCTAGGGCATCCCTCCCTAGCAAGGGTGGGCAGTCCAACATCACATATGCAGTGATGGTGATAGTTCTTCCCGGTCCTCTCTCGGTGCAGAGGGTTATTGCCACTGTTTGGGTGCTCTTGTGGGCTCGGGACAGCCCTCCAACTCCGCCCACCATGGGGGCTACTTCTACCTTCCATGGTCGAGGCCAATGTATGTCTGGGATGATGGTGACATCTGACCCTGTGTCCGCCCAAAAGGGAAGGCAGATGGCCGAGTCGTCGGAGCTGTTGTGGAGACGGCACACTGCCCCACACGATCAGTGGGTGTTTCCCCACCTTCACGGCGAAGGCCACCCATGGGTCCCGTTCCCATGCTTTCATGGCCAAAGCCACCCAGGGGCCTCGGCCCCAGGGAGCTGTTCTTGGTATTCCTGAGGTGCAGATGGGTTCGGTTGAGCCATTGGCTGGGCGACAAAGTTGGTCATTCCCTGAGGGGGTGGTGGTGGTGGGCATGAGAGCCCCTGTGCCCCATTGGGGGTTGCTGTAGCTGGGCCGCTGCATGTTCCAGGTGGGAGGAGGCTGGATACGGCCCGGCTGCCCCCCTCCCTCTCCCGTTTCCCTGATGCCTGGATCTGCATTCCTTAGCTAAATGCCCTTTCTTTCCACATGCCCAGCATGGTCCCCTAGGTCTCCCCTGGCGTGGTGGAGCGGCTGCTGGTGGGTGCCCTGACTGGGGGCAGTTTGTTGCCACGTGCCCAGCTTGGCCACACTTAAAGCATGCCATGACACTAGTTATTGCAGTGTGAACTGCTGCTTGAATGGGAGCTAGGTGTTCTTCCTTTGCAACGTGTCTGATCATGGCAGCTAGATTAGACCCTTGCGGCAGTGATCTTAAAATGTCCTTGGTGGCTGAGTTGCATTGCTGGCGCAGGCACTCTGCCAGCACAGGACCCTTTGCCTCTGAGGGTAATGTTGAGGAGTCCAAGGCAGCCTGTAAACGATCCACAAACTGAGTGAAGCTTTCACTCTCACTCTGCTTTATTGTGGACCAAGGTGATGGTTTGGCTATTACTTTGGAAGCAACACGGATGGCTTCTCGGGCAGCACGGGTTGTTGTCATAACCTCATGTGCCCGCAAGCCCTCAGCCTGTGCCTGAGGGGTGATCATTGTAGGGTCTGTGCCCATTAGCCTCTGTATGCTGGAGCCGTGCAGTGGATGGTCTGCCCCTGTTACCAGGGCCAGCTGCTTAATACAGTTATCCTCCCATTCCTGCTTAAAAACGATCATCCCTGCCCCATCAAAAATCATTCTGCAAGTCTGCTTAATATCAAAAGGTAACATGTCATCCCCTCCAAAAACGCTGTCAATGAGTGTGGAAACCATGGCAGAATTAATTCCCCTATCTGCAATTGCTTTAATAATTGCCTGCACGTCTTTCGGGTTTACCGGGGAATAGGTCCTTTGATTCCCGCCGGCTCCCCCCACCCAAACCGGGAACACCAGTTTCGCCGACGGAGTCCATTCAGCACACGCTATTTTTATTTTCCGCCAGTCTGTAAGCGGAGTTCGATCTTTCTCCGATATCCCCTTCACCCATGCAGGGGTGCTGTGGCTAGTGACCTTGTATGCCGCTGCTCTCCTTCTGTTAAAACCCGAATCCGAGTCGGAACTCCCCGATCCCCTCTCGAGCTCAGAGCTCGAGTCCGAGTCCGAGTCGGAAGTCGACTGCCCGGACGTTTCCGGGCTGCTCTGCCTTTTTCTCGGGCTCCGACCCCGCCCCTTCTTGCGGGGGTTGGGCCGGTTCCTCCCCCTGGGGTCCCCCCACCTCCTACTGGGGGAGGTCCTTGCCCTATAAGGACCTAAAGTGAACTGAGTGCTCTGATTGGCCTTACGCTCCTCCGCGGGGGCTGCCCCGTGCCCCCGCTTGCCCGCGCATGCGTTGTTAAGCAGGCTGACTGCATTTCCGCCCCCGTGTTTTCCTTTCCGCCCTGAACACGCAGTTCGGCGCCATTTTCAAACGCATACGGAGGGGGTGCGCTTTTATCCACCCCTTTGGGGTCCGGCAATTTCGCCGCCTCCCGCGCTTCCTCCGTTAACCCCCGCCAAAACGCCCGCGCGCGTTCCCCCCCTCTGATGGTGAAGCTCGGGGGAATCCGGCGCTCGCGGTTCCGCGGTGCCGATCTGATCGAAGCCCTCTGCGGTCTGCGTTGCCGCGCCCACCCCCAACTGCGGCGTGGCTAATAACCAAGCCTGCGCGGCTTTCCAGGTCTCCTGCTCTTCTCTAGCTTTCTGCAGAGCCTGCACGACTCTGCCCCATGACTTTAGAGCTTTCCCTGAGCCTGAGGACATCGTTTCCTCAGCTAAAACCTTTGTACAAGTATCCCATATCTCCGGATGGAGAATATCCACCGGGCTGTCTATCGCCCCCCAGCTTAATAAGTCTCGGTATAGCAAGACATAAATCTTTTAGCTTACAATCAATCCCCCATTGAGCATGCATCTGAGTTACGACCTTCGCTATGGCTTCCATGGTCCACGCTGCTCCGGGGGCGTCCCCCCCGCTGCACAGGCCGGTCCCCTGTCCAGGCGAAATCCCCAACTCCGGGCGCTGCGATGCTCCCGGGTTTCGGCACCAGATGTCGCCGTTACCGGCGTGGGGACCTGGTTCGGGAGGTCTGGCACGGTGACCCAAGGCCCAGGGTCACTCGGTCCAATGCTACACACACCAATGTGGTGGACAGCAAATGGCGTTTCTTGAGGGGTCTCAGGGGCATTTATGGACTAAGGGGTTTCTCTACGTCAGAAAGGGGTTTGGCTGTACTTTCTAGGGTTAGGATGGAGTGGAAAGTTACTGGCATGCATAGGTTAGGGGGGCTACACGTCTGGCTACATTCCAAGGGTGATCCTTATCTATGGGGAGAGGGGCAGAAGGATTCCTGTAATTTCCCGAACGCCTGTCCCTTACCTACCACACCCCAGATCCTGTTAATCCCCCTGCCCCCGTTCCCCCTGTGCCCCCCAGACCCCATTAACCCCTTCCTGCCCCCGTTCCCCCCATGTCCCCCAGACCCTATTGACCCCCCCAGACCCCATTCCTGACGCTGTTCCTGACCCCCTTCCTGCCCCCATTTCCCCCGTGCCCCCAAACACAATTAACCCTTTCCTGCCCCCACTCCCCCAGACCCCAATAACCCCCCCAGACCCCATTAACCCTTTCCTGCCCCTATTCCTGCCCCTGTTCCTGACCTCATTTCCCCTGTGCCCCCCATTTACCCCTCCCTGATCCCATTTTGCCCCCAGACCCCATTCCTGCCCCCATTTCTGACCCCATTCCTGCCCCCATTTCTGACCCCATTCCCCCCGTGCCCCCCAGGCTCCCAGACCCCAATAACCCCCCCCAGACCCCATTAACCCCTTCCTGCCCCCATTCCTGACCCCATCTCCCCCGTGCCCCCCAGGGCCCCAGACCCCAATAACCCCTCCCAGACCCCATTAACCCCTTCCTGCCCCCACTCTCCCCAGGCTCCCAGACCCTAATTACCCCCCCCCAGACCCCATTAACCCCTTCCTGCCCCCATTCCCCCCGTGCTCCCAGACCCTATTAACCCCCCAGACCCCATTCCTGCCCCTGTTCCTGACCCCCTTCCCCCCGTGCTCCCCAGACCCCATTAACCCCCCCCAGACCCCATTAACCCCTTCCTGCCCCCATTGCTGCCCCCCAGGCCTCCACGGCTCAGGAGATCCGGCGCCACTTCGAGGGGCACCCGGCTGACCTGGTGGTCTGTGATGGGGCCCCTGACGGTGAGTTTGGGGGGGCTGGGCCTGAGGAGGCATCTGAACCCCCTAAAAACCCCTAAAAAACCCCCCAAAAAACCCCCCTGACCCCCAAACTGCCCCCACAGTAACGGGGCTGCACGACCTTGACGAGTACATCCAGGCCCAGCTGCTGCTGGCAGTAAGTGTGGGGGTTCAGCCCCCCAAAATCCCCCCTCCAAAACCTCCTGGGGACCCCCCCAGAGCCCCCCCAAACCCCCCCAAATCCCCTTTTGGGCTCTCCCCTCCTCCAGGCACTGAACATCACCACCCACGTCCTGAAGAAAGGCGGCACCTTCGTGGCCAAGGTGAGGAGTCCCTGAGGGGATCCCCTCAAAATGAGGGGGGGGTCTGGAGCCCCCCCATCCCCAAAAAGGGGGCGCTGACCCCGCTGCCCCCCCAGATTTTCCGGGGCAAGGACGTGACCCTGCTCTACTCCCAACTGCGCCTCTTCTTCCCCGACGTCACCTGCGCCAAGCCCCGCAGCAGCCGCAACTCCAGCATCGGTGGGAGCCCCCCCAAACCCCCGGGGACCCCCCCTGAGTTTGGGGAGACCCCCCCTGAGTGTGGGGGACCCCCCCTGACCCCCTGTTTTGGCAGAGGCCTTCGTGGTGTGCCGTGGGTACAGCCCCCCCGAGGGCTTCGTGCCCAGCATGGAGAATCCCCTGCTGGAGCCCGAGGCGGGTGAGCGGCACCGGGGGCATTCTGGGGGTCCCTGATGGGATTTTGGGGTGTCTGGGGGTCACTGGGAGGTGCCTGGGGGCATTCTGAAGGGTCCTGGAGGAGTTTTGGGGGTCCCTGATGGGATTTTGAGGGTCCTTGGCAGGATCTTGGGGTGTCTGGGGGTCACTGGAAGGTGGCTGGGTACATTCTGAGGGGTCCTGGGAGGGATCTGGGGGTTCCTCATGGGATTTTGGGGTCCCTGATGGGATTTTGGGGGTCCCTGATGGGATTTTGGGGTGTCTGGGGGTCACTGGGAGTGTTTGGGGACATTCTGAGGGGTCCTGGAGGGGATATGGGGGTCCCTGGCAGGGATCTGGGGGTTCCTGATGGGATTTTGGGGGTCCCTGATGGGATTTTGGGGTGTCTGGGGGTGCTTGCAAGGTCTCTTGGGATATTTTGGGGCTCCCTGAGGGGATTTTGGGGTCTCTGAGGGCCATTGGGGGATCCCTGTTGGTTTGTCAGGGGCAATTGGGGCCCCTGAGGATTTGGGGTGCCCCAGTGTTATTATGGGTGCCCCCAATGGGATTTGGGGCGCCCCCAATGGGATTTGGGGTGCCCAATGTTACTTGGGATACCCAATGGGATTTGGGGTGCCTCCAATGGTATTTGGGGTGCCCAGTGGGATTTGGGGCACCCCCAATGGGATTTGGGGTACCCAGTGGTATTTGTGGTGCCCCCAATGGTATTTGGGATGCCCAATGGTATTTGGGGTGCCCCAATGGTATTTGGGGTGTCCCCAGTGGTATTTGGGGTGCTCCAATGGTATTTGGGATACCCAATGATATTAGGGGTGCCCCCAATGTTCTTTGGGGTGCCCAGTGGGATTTGGGGTGCCCAATGTTATTTGGGATACCCAATGGTATTGGGGGTGCCCAGTGGTATTTGGGATACCCAATGGAATTTGGAGCGCCCCCAATGGGATTTGGGATACCCAATGATATTAGGGGTGCCCCCAGTGGGATTTGGGGTGCCCCCAGTGGGATTTGGGGTGCTCCAATGGTATTTGGGATATCCAGTGGTATTTGGGGTGCCCCCAATGGGATTTGGGGCGCCCAATGGGATTTGGGGTGCCCCCAATGGTATTTGGGGTACCCAATGTTCTCTGGGGTGCCCCCCATGTTCTCTGGGGTGCCCCCCATGGTATTTGATGTACCCAATGATCTCTGGGGTGCCCCCGATGTTCTTTCGGGTGCCTCCCATGTTCTCTGGGGTCCCCCCAATGTTCTCTGGGGTGCCCCAATGGTATTTGGGGTGCCCAATGTTCTCTGGGGTGCCCCAATGTTCCCTGGGGTGCCCCCAATGTTCCCTGGGGTGCCCCAATGTTCCCTGGGGTGCCCCCAATGTTCTCTGGGGTGCCCCAATGTTCTCTGGGGTGCCCCCCATGTTCCCTGGGGTGCCCCAATGTTCTCTGGGCTCCCAGGGCTGGCCCTGTCCGGTCTCTCGGGCCCCTCCAGGGTCATCGTTCCCTTCGTGGCCTGCGGGGACCTGAGCGCCTTCGACCCCGACCGCACCTACCCCCTGCAGGTAGGGACTGGGAATGGCACTGGGGGGACTGGGATGGGAAACTGGGAATGGGAAACTGGGACTGACTGGGGAAACTGGGAATGGGAAACTGGGACTGACTGGGGAAACTGGGGGGACTGGGATGGGAAACTGGGACTGGGAATGGGAAACTGGGATGGGAAACTGGGACTGGGAATGGGACTGGGGAACTGGGATGGGAAACTGGGACTGGGAATGGGACTGACTGGGGGAACTGGGGGGACTGGGGAACTGGGATGGGAAACTGGGACTGGGGAACTGGGAAAACTGGGATGGGAAACTGGGATGGGAAACTGGGCAAACTGGGAATGGGATGGGAAACTGGGACTGGGAAACTGGGATGGGAAACTGAGGAAACTGGGATGGGAAACTGGGAATGGGATGGGAAACTGGGAATGGGAAACTGGGAATGGGGAACTGGGAATGGGGAAACTGGGGAAACTGGAATGGGAAACTGGGGAAACTGGGAATGGGAAACGGGAATGGGAAACTGGGACTGGGATGGGAAACTGGGAATGGGATGGGAAACTGAGAATGGGAAACTGGGAATGGGGAACTGGGAATGGGGAACTGGGAATGGGAAACTGGGAATGGGGAACTGGGGGGACTGGGGAACTGGGGAAACTGGGAGGGGAAACTGGGGAAACTGGGAATGGGATGGGAAACTGGGACTGGGAAACTGGGATGGGAAACTGGGGATGGGATAGGAAACTGGGACTGGGGAACTGGGGAAACTGGGGAAACTGGGAATGGGAAACTGGGATGGGAAACTGGGATGGGAAACTGGGGAAACTGGGAGGGGAAACTGGGAATGGGGAACTGGGACTGGCGGGGGAACTGGGGAAACTGGGGAAACTGGGATGGGAAACTGGGAATGGGATGGGAAACTGGGATGGGAAACTGGGATGGGAAACTGGGAATGGGCAAACTGGGAATAGGAAACTGGGAATGGGATGGGAAACTGGGACTGGGATGGGAATGGGAAACTGGGATGGGAAACTGGGACTGGGGAAACTGGGGGGACTGGGAAACTGGGAATGGGGAAACTGGGATGGGAAACTGGGAGGGGAAACTGGGACTGGGAAACTGGGATGGGAAACTGGGAATGGGGAAACTGGGAATGGGCAAACTGGGAATGGGAAACTGGGAATGGGAAACTGGGAATGGGCAGACTGGGAATGGGATGGGAAACTGGGAAACTGGGATGGGAATGGGAAACTGGGACTGGGGAAACTGGGGGGACTGGGAAACTGGGAATGGGGAAACTGGGAATGGGAATGGGAAACGGACTGGGATGGGAAACTGGGACTGGGACTGGGGAAACTGGGAGGGGAAACTGGGAATGGGAAACTGGGAATGGGACTGGGCAAACTGGGAATGGGGAAACTGGGAATGGGAAACAGGGGGACTGGGATGGGAAACTGGGAATGGGGAAACTGGGAATGGGAAACTGGGACTGGGGAAACTGGGAGGGGAAACTGGGACTGGGAATGGGAAACTGGGAATGGGAGGAGAAACTGGGACTGGGAATGGGAAACTGGGACTGGGAATGGGACTGGGCAAACTGGGACTGGGCAAACTGGGAATGGGAAACTGGGAGGGGAAACTGGGACTGGGAAACTGGGACTGGGGAAACTGGGAATGGGAAACCGGGATGGGAAAATGGGATGGGAAAGTGGGACTGGGAAACTGGGAATGGGAAACTGGGACTGGGGAAACTGGGAATGGGGAAACTGGGAATGGGAAACAGGGGGGACTGGGATGGGAAACTGGGACTGGGAATGGGAAACCTGGAATGGGAAACTGGGAGGGGAAACTGGGAATGGGGAAACTGGGAATGGGAAACCGGGAATGGGAAACTGGGAGGGGAAACTGGGATGGGAAACGGGGACTGGGACTGGGGGGAACTGGGAATAGGAAACTGGGAATGGGACTGGCAGGAACTGGGAATGGGACTGGGATTGGGAAATGGGAATGGGAATGGGACTGGGAGGGGCTGGGAATGGGACTGGGATGGACTGAGACTGGGAATGGAAATGGGAAACTGGGATGGGAAACTGGGACTGGGACTGGGAATGGGACTGGGAGGGGCTGGGAAGGACTGGGAACACTGGGGACACTCAGGGGACTGGGAGGGACCGGGGCAGCTCCTGGAGCCACCGGGAAGGACTGGGCTGTATTGGGAGGGACTGGGAGGTGCAGGGCCATACTGGGGGGCCATACTGGTCCATACTGGAAGGTTCCATCCCACGCTCTCCCCCCCAGCTGGAGCCCTCCCGGCCGTACCATTACACGCCCCCCCCCGCCCCCCCCATCGCGCCCCCCTACGCCCGGGCCTGCAGCCTGCGCCGGGGGGGGAACCCGGGAACGGGGACGGGGACACCCCCGGGGGGACACCGAGAGCACCGGGACCAGAGGGGCGGGCAAGGAACCACAAGGGAGATGGGTGTGCAAGGAACCATGAGTGAGATGGGTGTGCAAGGAGCCACGAGTGAGATGGGTGTGCAAGGAGCCACGAGGGAGATGGGTGTGCAAGGAACCATGAGTGAGATGGGTGTGCAAGGAGCCACGAGTGAGATGGGTGTGCAAGGAGCCACGAGAGAGATGGGTGTGCAAGGAGCCACGAGTGAGATAGGTGTGCAAGGAACCCTGAGTGAGATGGGTGTGCAAGGAGCCCTGAGAGAGATGGGTGTGCAAGGAGCCATGAGAGAGATGGGTGTGCAAGGAGCCCTGAGGGAGATGGGTGTGCAAGGAACCCTGAGTGAGATGGGTGTGCAAGGAGCCATGAGGGAGATGGGTGTGCAAGGAGCCCTGAGTGAGATGGGTGTGCAAGGAACCCTGAGGGAGACGGGCGGGCAAGGAACCATGAGAGAGACGGGTGTGCAAGGAACCCTGAGTGAGATGGGTGTGCAAGGAGCCCTGAGTGAGGGGGACAGAGCCTGGTGTGAGATGGGTGTGCAAGGAGCCCCCCAGGAAGAGACAAGCGTGCAAGGACCCACATATGAGGGGGAGGGACCCTCGTGTGAGAGGGGCGTGCAAGGATCCGTGTGTGGGATGGGTGTGCAAGGAGCCCCTCAGGAGGGGATGGGTGTGCAAGGAGCCCCGTGCAAGGGGGAAGGAGCCCCGTGTGAGGAACTGCGCCAGCTCCGTCTTTTGGACTGAAACGTGGGTGTGCAAGGGCTCCCGTGAGTGTGCAGGGCTCCCAGGGGTGTGCAGTGTGGGTGTACAAGGGCTCCCATGGGTGTGCAAAGGCTCCCGTGAGTCTGCAAGGCTCCCATGGGTGTGCAAGGGCTCCCATGGGTGTGCAAGGGCTCCCGTGAGTCTGCAAGGCTCCCATGGGTGTGCAAGGGCTCCCATGGGTGTGCAAGGCCCCCCAGGAGCCTCCCCTTGCACGCGCGTGTGACCCCCCCAATAAACCCCCCCTGCTCCAGTCCCAGGGCTGCGGCGCCTTTATTGCAATGGAGGGGGGCTGGGGCATTGGGGGGCACCCCAGGTTTGGGGGGACCCCAGGTTTGGGGGTGACCCTCGGGGGTTTGGGGTGAACTCAAGCATTGGGGGCACCCCAAATCTGGGGCTCTGGGGGGATTTGGGGGACCCCAGGTTTGGGGGGACCCTTTGGGGGCCCCTCGGGGTCTGTGAGAGGTCCTGGGAGGGCTTTGGGGGGATCCTGGGGGATTGGGGCACCCCTGGGTTTTGGGGGTGCTGAGGGGGTTTGGGGGGGATGTTGGGGGGGATCCCCCTGGGTTTTGGGGGGTCCTGGGGGATTTTGGGGAACCCCGGGTTTGGGGGGGATGTTGGGGGTGGTTTGGGGTAGGATTTGGGGGGATCCCCCTGGGTTTTGGGGGTCCTGGGGGATTTGGGGCAACCCCAATGCACTGGGGGAGGGGGTCCTGGGGTTTGAGGGGATCCTCCTGAGCTTGGGGGGACCCCGGGTGCATTGGGGGTTCCTGGGGGACCCCCTGAGGCTTTGGGGGTGCTCTGGGGGATTTGGGGGATCCCTTGTGGGGTTGAAAACCCCCCAAAACCCCTGGGGTTTGGGGGTCCTGGGGGAACCCCTGAACTCTGGGGTTTGAAGGGTTCACCCAGGCTGGGGGCAAAGAGCATTCCCAGAGCTTTGGGGGTGTCCCCAGTTCCGGGGTGCCCCATTTTGGGGTGCCTGGGGCTTTGGGGGTTCCTGGGTGGGGTTTTGGGGGTCTCCCCGGTTTTGGGGTGCCCCAGTTTTGGGATGCCCAAAGCTCTGGGGTTTTCTGGCTGGGATGATGAGGGTTTTGGGGTGCCCCGGTTTTGGGGTGTCCCCAGAGCTTTGGGGGTTCCCGGAGGGGCTGGTGAGGGTTGGAGGGTCTCCCAGTTTTTGGGGTGCCCATTTTGGGGTTCCCGTGTCAATCCTCGCTGCGCAGCAACCAACGCTGGGGCTTCCTGGGGGGAGTGGCGAGGGTTTTGGGGTGTCCCCATTTTGGGGCGTCCAGAGCTTTGGGGGTTCCTGGAGGGAACAGGGATGGTTTTGGGGTGTCCCGAGTTTTGGGGTGTCCCCATTTTGGGGTGTCCCCAGTTTCAGGGTGTCCCCATTTCCGGGTGTCCAGAGCTTTGGGGGTTCCTGGAGGGAACAGGGATGGTTTTGGGGTGTCCCCAGTTTCGGGGTGCCCATTTTGGGGTTCCCAGCTCAGTCCATTCTGCGCGAGGCCTCGGCGTTGGCGCTCAGCAGTTGGGAGATCCTGGGTGGGATCATGGGGGTTTTGGGGTGCCCCATTCCTGGGTGGGATCATGGGGGTTTTGGGGTGCCCCATTCCTGGGTGGTCTGGGGAGGGTTTTGGGGTGCCCCATTTTGGGGTGCCCATTTTGGGGTGCCCATTTTGGGGTTCCCAGCTCAGTCCTTTCCGCGCGAGGCCTTGGTGTTGGCGTGCTTTAATTGGGTGATCCTGGGTGGGATCATGGGGGTTTTGGGGTGCCCCATTTTGGGGTGCCCCATTTTGGGGTGCCCATTTTGGGGTCCCCAGCTCAGTCCTTTCCGCGCGAGGCCTCGGCGTTGGCGCTCAGCAGTTGGGTGACCCTGGGTGGGATCATGGGGGTTTTGGGGTGCCCATTTTGGGGTGCCCCATTCCTGGGTGGTGTGGTGAGGGTTTTGGGGTGCCCATTTTGGGGTGCCCATTTTGGGGTTCCCCTTTCAGTCCTTTCCGCGCGAGGCCTCGGCGTTGGCGTGCTTTAATTGGGTGATCCTGGGTGGAATCATGGGGGTTTTGGGGTGCCCCATTCCTGGGTGGGCTGGTGAGGGATTTGGGGGGTGCCCATTTTGGGGTTCCCCTTTCAGTCCTTTCCGCGCGAGGCCTCGGCGTTGGCGTGCATCAGTTGGGTGCTCCTGGGTGGGATCATGGGGGTTTTGGGGTGCCCCGTTTTGGGGTGCCCCATTCCTGGGTGGGATGATGGGGGTTTTGGGGTGCCCATTTTGGGGTGCCCCATTTTGGGGTGCCCATTTCGGGGTCCCCAGCTCAGTCCTTTCCGCGCGAGGCCTCGGCGTTGGCGCGCAGGACGGCGCCGGGGCTGGGGTACGGCCGCTGCTGGAACAGGGGCCCGGCCGCCGTCGTGTCCGCGCCCGTCTTGGCCTCGTTGCGCTTGGGCAGCCCCGTGGACCACGTCCCCCTGCCGGGACACGGCGAGGAACGGGGGTCACGGGGGTCCCCCAAAACCCGGGGCACCCCAAAACCCCTCCCCGTTACCCCAGGCCGTACCGGGGCGCGTCCGAGTAGGCGCTGGGGTCCATCGGGTCCAGCTCCTCGTCCTTGCGGCCGCCTGGGGGGCGTGGGGGGGTCAGCAAAGCTCCAGAACCCCCCAGAATCCTGGGGGAACCCCCCAAAATCCTGGGGACCCCCCCCAAAATTCCTCCCAGGGAATTCCGCCCCGGAATGCTCAGAACCCCCTGGAATTCATGGGGAACCCCCTCCCCACAATCCCCTGAAATGCCAGGGAATCCTCTATGGACCCCCCGAAATTCCAGGGGACCCCTGGAACCCCCCGAAATCTCAGGGGACCCCCCCCCCTTCCATCCCCTGACATCCTGGGGAATCTCCTGCGGAATGCTCAAAGCGCCCCGAAATCCTGGGGGAGTGACCCCAGAACGCTCCTCAGAGCCCCCCAGAATCCCAGGGAATCTCCCCAAAATCCCAGGGAATCTCCCCAAGAACACTTGAAGCCCCCTGAAATCCCAGGGACCCCCCCAGAATGTTCAGAGCCCCCCAAAATCCTGAGGGAATCCCCTTGAAATCCCAGGGACCTCTCCCCCAAAACGCTTGGAGCCCCCCAAAATCTTGGGGGATCCCTCTCTGAAATGCTCAGAGCTCCCTGAAATCCTGGGGAATCCCTCCCAGAATGCTCAGAGCCCCCCAAAACCTTGGGGGATCCCTCTCCAAAATGCTCAGAGCCCCCCAAAATCCCGAGGAATCCCCCCAAAATCCATGGGGACCCTCCCTCGAACCCCCCAAAGCCCAGGGACCCCCCAGAATCTTCAGAGCCCCCAAAATCCCGGGACCACCCCGAAACCCCCTGAAATACCGGGACCCCTGGAACGCTCAGAGCTCCCCGAAATCCTTGAGGAACCCCCAGAATGCTCCTCAGAGCCTCCCAAAATCCTGAGGAATCCCCCCCAAATCCCAGGGACCCCCCCCAGAATGCTCAGAGCCCCCCAAAATCCTGAGGAATCCCCTAAAAATCCAAGGAACCCCTCCCCCAGAACGCTTGGAGCCCCCCGAAATTTTGGGGAATCCCTCCCCAAAATGCTCAGAGCCCCCTGAAATCCTGGGGGATCCCTCCCAGAATCCTCAGAGCCCCCCAAAATCCCCCAAAAATCCCAGGGGACCCTCCCTCGAACCCCCCAAAATTCCAGGGACCCCCCCAGAATATTCAGAGCCCCCCAAAATCCGGAGGAATCCCCTCAAAATCCCAGGGACCTCTCCCCCAGAATGCTCAGAGCCCCCCAAAACCTTGGGGGATCCCTCTCCGAAATGCTCAGAGCTCCCTGAAATCCTGGGGAATCCCTCCCAGAATGCTCAGAGCCCCCCAAAATCCCAGGGACCCTCCCTCAATCCCCTCAAAATCCCAGGGACCTCTCCCCCAGAACGCTTGGAGCCCCCCAAAACCTTGGGGGATCCCTCTCCGAAATGCTCAGAGCTCCCTGAAATTCTGGGGGATCCCTCCCCAGATTCATCAGAGCTCCCCAACATCCTAAGGAATCCTCCCAAAATCCCAGGGAATCCCCCCAAAATCCCAGGGGACCCTCCCTCGAACCCTCCAAAATCCCAGGGACCCCCCCAGAATCTTCAGAGCCCCCAAAATCCCAGGACCACCCCCAAACCCCCTGAAATCCCGGGACCCCCTGGAACGCCCCGAGCCCCCTGAAATCCTGAGGAACCCCCCCAGAACGCTCCTCAGAGCCCCCCCAAATCCCAGGGACCCCCCCCCCAGAATGCTCAGAGCCCCCCAAAATCCTGAGGAATCCCCTCGAAATCCCAGGGACCCCCCCAGAATGTTCAGAGCCCCCCAAAATCCCGAGGAATCCCCTCAAAATCCAAGGAACCCCTCCCCCAGAACACTTGGAGCCCCCCAAAATTTTGGGGGATCCCTCTCCAGATTTCTCAGAGCCCCCCAAAATCCCAGGACCCCCCCTAAACCACCCAAAGTCCTGGGACCCCCCAGAACGCTCGGAGCTCCCCAAAATCCCTGGGGAACCCCCAGAACCCCTGAAATCCTGAGACCCCCCTGGCAAAACGCTTGGAGCACCCCAAAATCCCATGGACCCCCCCCAATACCCTGAAATCCCGGGACCCCCTGGAATGCTCAGAGCCCCCCAAAATCCTGAGGAATCCCCTCGAAATCCCAGGGACCCCTCCCCCAGAACACTTGGAGCCCCCCAAAACCTTGGGGGATCCCTCTCCAAAATCCTCAGAGCTCCCTGAAATCCCGAGGAATCCCCCCAAAATCCCAGGGAATCCCCCCAAAATCCCAGGGGACCCTCCCTCGAACCCTCCAAAATCCCAGGGACCCTCCCCAGAATGTTCAGAGCCCCCCAAAATCCTGAGGAATCCCCTTGAAATCCAAGGAACCCCTCCCCCAGAATGCTCAGAGCCCCCCAAAACCTTGGGAGATCCCTCTCCAAAATGCTCAGAGCCCCCCAAAATCCCGAGGAATCCCCCCAAAATCCCAGGGACCCTCCCTCGACCCCCCCAAAATCCGAGGGACCCCCCCCCAGAATCTTCAGAGCCCCCAAAATCCCAGGACCCGCCCCCAAACCCCCTGAAATCCCGGGACCCCCTGGAACGCTCAGAGCTCCCCGAAATCCTGGGGAACCCCCAGAACCCCGAGAGAACCCCCCCCACCCTCCACCAAAACGCCTGGAGCCCCCCAAACTCGCGGGGACCCCCCAAAATCCCCTTTACCCCCGGTACCTTTCTTGCCCTTGGGGTACGGGGCCAGCTCCTCCCGCCGGTGCCCCCGGCGCTCCCGCGGCGCCTCCTCCTTCTCGGGGGGCTCCTCGGCCTCTGCGGGGCCACCGGGCTCAGGGCACCCCAAAGCCCCTGGGGGGACCCCCAAATCCCCTGGGGGGACCCCCCAGATCCCCCTCAAGCTCTGGGGACACCCCCAGTTCCTCCCATGGGGTTTGGAGACCCCCCCTGCCCCAGATGCCCCTGTGGGGTTTGGAGACCCCCCCAAGATCCCCCCGTAGGTTTTGGGGACCCCCCCCAAGTTTTGGGGTTCCCCACAGATTTTGGGGCTCCCTCAGTTTCCCCCCAGTCTTTGGGGACCCCCCGGGTTTTGGCCCACCCCCCCCCAGGTTTTGGGGTCCCCCCAGTTTTTGGGACCCCCCGGGTTTTGGGCCCCACCTCCCGGGTTTTGGGGTCCCACAAGTTCCCCCCCCCCCCCGTAGGTTTTGGGGACCCCTCCCCAGGTTTTGGGGTTCCCCACAGATTTTGGGGCTCCCCCAGTTTCCCCCCAGTTTTTGGGGACCCCCTGGGTTTTGGGCCTCCTCCACAGGTTTTGGGTTCCCCCCGGTTCCCCCCCAGGTTTTGGGGTCCCCCCAGTTCCACCCCCCCCAGGTTTTGGGATCCCCCCAGTTTCTGGGCCCCCCCCCAGATTTTGGGCACCCCCCCAGTTTTGGGGACCACCCCGGATTTTGGACCCCCCCCTCCCAGTTTTTGGAGTCCCCCCAGTTTTTGGGGACACCCCGGGTTTTGTGCCCCTCCCAGTTTTGGGGTCCCCCAGTTTTCCCCTCCCAGTTTTGGGGTCTTCCCAGTTCCCCCCCAGGTTTTGGGGCTCCCCTAATTTTTGGGGATCTCCCCCAGTTTCTGGGCCACCCCCCCAGGTTTTGGGGTCCCCCCAGTTCCTCCCCTCAGTTTTTGGGTATCTCCCCCCCAGTTTCTGCCCCCCCCGGTTTTGGGCACCCCCACATTTCCCCCCCCCCGCCCCGGTTTTGGGGACCACCCTGGATTTTGGGCCCCCCCCCAGGTTTTGCCCCCCCCCCCGTTTTGGGGATCCCCCGGATTCTGGGGACCCGCCCCAGGTTTTGGGCACCCCCCCAGGTTTTGGGCACCCCTATCCCAGTTTCTGCCCCCCCCCGGATTTTGGGGACCCCCCCAGGTTTTGGGACCACCCCGGATTTTGGGGACCCCCCCCCGGATTTGGGGACCCCCCCGGATTTTGGGGCCCCCTCCCCGTTTTTGGGGTGCCCCACCTGCGCTGCCCCGCGCTCTCCGCGCGGGTTTGGTGATGACGGAGTTGGGGTCGCTCGGGGACAGCCACGACACCAGGTCCGTGTCCACGTTCCAGTAATAGGGCAGCCCACTGGGGACAGGGATGGGCTGTGGGATCTGTGGGGCCAGGGGGGCCCTATGGACCCTACAGAGCCCAGAACAGGGCCCTATGGACCCTACAGAGCCCAGGGGGGGCCCTATGGACCCTATAGAGCCCAGGGGGGCCCTATGGACCCTACAGAGCCCTATGGACCCTACAGAGCCCTGGGGAGCCCTATGGACCCTACAGAGCCCAGAACAGGGCCCTATGGGCCCTACAGAGCCCTATGGACCCTATAGAACCCTATGGACCCTATAGAGACCAGGGGAGCCCCTATGGACCCTACAGAGCGCAGAACAGGGCCCTATGGACCCTACAGAGCCCAGAACAGGGCCCTATGGACCCTATAGAGCCCTATGTACCCTACAGAGCCATGGGGAGCCCCTATGGACCCTACAGAGCCCTATGGACCCTATAGAGCCCTGGGGAGCCCTATGGACCCTACAGAGCCCAGAACAGGGCCCTATGGACCCTACAGAGACCAGGGGAGCCCCTATGGACCCTATAGAGCCCTATGGACCCTGTAGAGCCCAGGGGAACTCCTATGGACCCTATAGAGCCCTATGGACCCTATAAAGACCAGGGGAGCCCCTATGGACCCTATAGAGACCAAAGGAGCCCCTATGGATCCTATAGAGCCCAGAACAGGGCCCTATGGACCCTACAAAGCCCTGGGGAGCCCCTATGGGCCCTATAGAGCCCTGGGGAGCCCTATGGACCCTACAGAGCCCAGGGGAGCCCCTATAGAGCCCTATAGACCCTCTAGAACCATGGGGGAGGCCAAATTATCCCATAGAGCCATGGGGGGCCCTATGGACCCTATAGAGCTCTATGGATCCTACAGAGCCATGGGGAGCCCTATAGACCCTAGAGAACCATAGGGGGGCCTATGGACCTTATAGAGCCCTAGGGACCCTACAGAGCCATAGAGGGCCCTATAGAGTCCTATGGAGCCTATAGAGCCCTATAGACCCTATAGAGCCACAGGGGGCCCCATGGACCCTAAAGTGCTCTATGGACCCTACAGAACCATGGGTGCCCTATGGATTCATGGGGCAGGGGGCTATGGATCCTATAGAGCCCTACAGATCCTACAGAGCCCTAGGGGGCCCTGTAGAACCCCATGGAACCTATAGAGACTGGGGGAGGGCCCTATGGACCCTATAGAGCCATGGGGGAGCCCTATGGACCTTACAAAGTTCTATGGACCCTATAGAGCCCTACAGATCCTACAGAGCCATAGGGGGCCCTGTAGGACCCCATGGAACCTATAGAGACTGGGGGAGGGCCCTATGGACCCTATAGAGCCATGGGGGAGCCCTATGGACCTTACAAAGCTCTATGGACCCTATAGAGCCCTACAGATCCTATAGAGCCATGGGGGGCCCTATAGAACTTTATAGACCCTATAGAGCCATGGGGAGGCTCTACAGACCCTATAGATGCCCATGGACCCTATAGAGCTCAGGACTGGCCCTACAGAGCCCTATGGGCCCTATAGAACCCTCATGGGGGGCTGTGGACCCTGGGAGGGGCCCTGAGGACCCTACAGAACCCTGTGGGGGACCTACAGACCCTATAGAGCCATGGGGGGTCCTATGGACCCTATAGACACCTATGGGCCTATAGAGCCATGAGAGAGCCCTACAGAGCCATGGGGGGGCCCTATAGAGCCATGGGGGGCCCTATGGACCCTATAGACACCTATGGACCTATAGAGCCATGAGAGAGCCCTATAGAGCCATGGGGGGCCCTATAGACCCTATAGACACCTATGGACCTATAGAGCCATGGGGGGGCCCAATGGACCCTACAGAGCTCAGGGGGCCCCTCTGGACCCTACAGACCCCACAGGCCCCAGAGTGCCCAGCAAAGGCTCCTATAGGGCCCCCAGAGGCTGTAAAGGGTCCCTGTAGGGCCGGAAGTGACCCTGACCCCACAGGGTGGGGGGGTACAGACCCCATAACACCTGGAGAGGGACCTACAGCACCGGGAGGGTCCTTACAGCCCCTATAGGGCACGTAGAGAGTCCCCATAGCCCTGGGAAGCCCTGAGGAGGGGCCCTATGGACACTATAGGGGCTGGGAGGGATCCATACGGGCTGGGAGGGATCTGTAGGGGCTGGGAAGGATCTATAGGGGCTGGGAGGGATCTGTAGGGGCCGGGAAGGATCTATAGGGGCTGGGAGGGATCTGTAGGGGCTGGGAGGATCTATAGGGGCTGGGAGGGATCTGTAGGGGCTGGGAGAGATCTATAGGGGCTAGGAAGGATCTATAGGGGTTGGGAAGGATATGTAGGGGCCCTACAGCCAGGGGAGGGCCCCGATAACCCTGGGGGAACCCCAGGAAGGTCCCTATGGCCCTATAGGGGAATATGGACACCAGGGGTGTTCCTACAGCCTCTATAGGCGATCCTATAGCCCCTATAGGATCCGGGGGGTCCCTATAACACTGGGGGGGGTCTCCCAAGGAGGGGGAGGGTCTCACAAGGAGGGGGCGGGGTCTCCCGGGTGGGGGAGGGTCTCACCAGGTGGGGTCGATCACTTTGTACCAGGGCGGCATCAGCCCCTCGAGCCGTGAGGCTTCGTAATCCACGTGGGCGTCATCGTAATCCTCAGCGATGATCTCCTCCTCGGGCTCTGGGCGGGGCATCACATTGACCCCGCCCACTGCCACACCCACTGCCCAAACCCCGCCCACTGCCCCAATCCTCAGCGATGATCTCCTCCTCGGGCTCTGGGCGGGGCATCACACTGACCCCGCCCACTGCCACACCCACTGCCCAAACCCCGCCCACTGCCCCAATCCTCAGCGATGATCTCCTCCTCGGGCTCTGGGCGGGGCGTCTCACTGACCCCGCCCACTGCCACACCCAGCACCAAACCCCGCCCACTGCCCCAATCCTCAGCGATGATCTCCTCCTCGGGCTCTGGGCGGGGCGTCTCACTGACCCCGCCCACTGCCACACCCACTGCCCAACCCCTGCCCACTGCCACACCCACTGCCAAAACCCCGCCCACTGCCCCAATCCTCAGCGATGATCTCCTCCTCGGGCTCTGGGCGGGGCGTCACACTGACCACGCCCCCTGCCACACCCACTGCCCAAACCCCACCCACTGCCCCAATCCTCAGCGATGATCTCCTCCTCGGGCTCTGGGCGGGGCATCTCACTGACCCCGCCCACTGCCACACCCAGCACCAAACCCCGCCCACTGCCCAAACCCCGCCCACTGCCCCAATCCTCAGCGATGATCTCCTCCTTGGGCTCTGGGCGGGGCGTCTCACTGACCCCGCCCACTGCCACACCCACCGCCAAACCCCACCCCTGCCACACCCACCGCCAAACCCTGCCCACTGCCCCAATCCTCAGCGATGATCTCCTCCTCGGGCTCTGGGCGGGGCATCACACTGACCCCGCCCACTGCCACACCCACTGCCCAAACCCCGCCCACTGCCCCAATCCTCAGCGATGATCTCCTCCTTGGGCGTTGGGCGGGGTGTCACACTGACCCCGCCCACTGCCACACCCACCGCTCAAACCCCGCCCACTGCCACACCCACTGCCCAAACCCTGCCCACTGCCCAAACCCCGCCCACTGCCCCAATCCTCAGCAATTATCACCTCCTCAGGCTCTGGGCGGGGCGTCACACTGACCCCGCCCACTGCCACAACCCCGCCCACTGCCACACCCACATCCCCAGCCCCCCTCCAGTGCTGGCAATGGTCTGGGGTGAGGCTGGGATGAGAGCCCCGCCCAGAGCCCCACCCACCGATGAGCCACACCCACAGCCCAGAGCCACACCCACCGATGAGCCACACCCACAGCCCAGAGCCACACCCACCGATGAGCCACACCCACAGCCCAGAGCCACACCCAGTGCCGCTGACCCCGCCCACAGCCCAGAGCCACACCCAGTGCTGCTGACCCCACTCACAGCCACACCCAGTGCTGCTGACCCCACCCACAGCCCAGAGCCACACCCTGCCCATAGCTCCACCCTCAGCTGATAACAATGTCCACAGCTCCACCCACTGCCCATAGCCCCGCCCACTGCCCATAGTCTCACCTACTTACCCAGCCCCACCCACTGCCCCTAACTCCACCCACTTCCCACAGCCCCGCCCACTGTCCCAACCCCGCCCACTGCCCCTTAACTCTGTCCCATGCCTATAGCCCCGCCCATTGCCCATAACCCCGCCCACTGCCCCTAACCCCCCGCCACCATTTCCCAGGCCACGCCCACTCCTCACCCTGGCCACACCCCCTCCAGCCCCACCCAGCGCAGCCCCGCCCCCTCTCACCGGGTTCCACGTGTTTGAGCAGCCCCCGCTTGGCCAGGCGGGACTGGAGAGCCACGGGCAGCGGCATGGCCGGGGGGCAGCACCGGGAATGCCCCGGGAGTTCACCGAGACAGCACCGGAGAGGGGCCAGCACCGGCACAGACTGGGGACACACCGGGACAGAGGCGTCAGCACCGGGACAGCACCGGGAATTCACCGGGAACAGACTGGGGGCAGCACTGGGGCAGTACCGGGACACGGGGGGCAGCACCGGGAACCCCGGCTGGGGCACCGGGACACGGTCAGCACCGGGAACACACTGGAGATAGACTGGGAATGCCCCGGGAATCACCGGGGTCAGCACCGGGAACCAACCAGGACCCGGCTGGGGGCACGGGACAGGGGGGTCAGCACCGGGAACAGACCGGGAACCACCCGGGAGTACCCCGGGAACCAACCGGGGACACCCCGGGAACCCCGCAGAGCCCCGGGACCCCGCTGCGGGCGCGGCTCGGGGTTCCGGGACCCCCCGAGACCCCTCGGTGTCCCGGGAAACCCCTCGAGCACCGGGGAGAGCCCCGAGAGCTGCGGAGACAGCCCCGGAACCGGCAAAGGAGCCCCGAGACCCCCCCGGTAACCCCGGAGAGCTCCCAGAACCCCCGGAAGAGCGGGAACCCCCCTGGAGACCCCCGGAACCAACCCGGGAACCTCAGTTCGGTCCCAGTTCGGTCCCAGTTCCCCCAGTTCGGTCCCAGTTCCCCCAGTTCGGTCCCAGTTCCGTCCCAGTTCGGTCCCAGTTCGGCCCCAGTTCAATCCCAGATACCCCAGTTCAGTCCCACTTCGGTCCCAGTTCCCCCAGTTCGGTCCCAATTCGGCCCCAGTTCAATCCCAGTTCAGTCCCAGTTACCCCAGTTCGGTCCCAGTTCGGTCCCAATTCAGTCCCAATTCCCCCAGTTCGGTCCCAGTTCAGTCCCAATTCCCCCAGTTCGGTCCCACTTCGGTCCCACTTCGGTCCCAATTCCCCCAGTTCGGTCCCAATTCAGTCCCAATTCCCCCAGTTCGGTCCCAGTTCGGTCCCAATTCAGTCCCAATTCCCCCAGTTCGGTCGCAGTTCGATCTCAGTTCAGTCCTAGTTCACCCAGTTCGGTCCCAGTTACCCCAGTTCGGTCCCGGCTCCCACCGGAAGCCGCCGCCGGCCTCGCGCCGCTCACGTGACCGCGCTGCCCCTTTGCCCCCGCCCCTGTTGCCTCGGTAACCCCCGGCATTTCCGGTGACCACGTGACACACCCCGACCAATCGGCTGCGGGACAGCGCGGGCGCTCGGCCAATCAGCGCGCGGGAACGCGGCGCGCGCGGCGCGGGACCCGCATGGGCGCCGCCACGTTGGGGGGGGCGGCGGCTCCGCGCTGTTTTTGGGGTTTCGCTGCTCAAAATGGCGGCCCCGGGGGCTCCGGGGCCATCCCGGGCTCACCCCGAACCCGCCCCGCACCCCCCCCCCCCCCGGCACGGGGCTCCAAGGACACTGGGGAACGAACGGGGGCTCTGCCCCTTTATTAAAGCTGTGCTCGAGGGGTCAAAGGTCACCGGGCACAGGTCGGGGGGGTCCCTGAGGCGGCCACGGGGGTCACAGTGCAAAGGTCACGCCCCGGAGGGGGGCAGAGGTCAAAGGCCAGCAGCAAAGGCCCCAGAGGAGAGGTCAAAGGTCAGTAGCAGGAGGTCACCAGGAGGTCCCTGAGGTTGAGGCCACCAAGAGAGGTCAGAGGGCCAGCACAGGGGTCAGCGGGGTCACAGAGAGGTCAGGGGTCACAGCAGGGTCACAAATTGGTCCCACAGAGATCAAAGGCTCCAGGCAGAGGTCAGAGGTCACAGAGAGGTCAGAGGTCATGGGGGGTCAGGCCAGGCGGCAGCCTCGGGACCGGGGGCGGGGCCGGGGTTGCTGGGTGGGGACTGGGGAGGCCCCAGGGGGGCGGAGCTGTGGGGGGAGGGGGATGGGCTCCCCCAGGAACAGCCCCTCCCATGAGGAGGATGATGATGATGATGATGATGATGATGATGATGATGAAGGCCAGCGGGGGCGGCCCCGGCCCCTCCCCCGCCGCAGCGCTGGGGGGGAGCCCTGGGGGGGGGAGGGGCAGGGCCTGGAGGGGGGAGGGGAGGGGCCACAGGGGGTGGGGCAGGGGGCGGCCCCCAGGTCAGGCAGGGAGTGGCGGTGGGGGGAGGGACCTGTGGGGGAGGGGCCTGTGGGGGAGGGGCCTGTGGGGGACGGGCCTGTGGGGGAGGGGCGGGGCGTGGCCCCCAGCTCGGGCAGGGAGTGGCGGTGGGGACCCCCCCGGCGGAACTGGGGCTGCCAGCCTGTGGGGGAGGGGCCCGGGGAGCCCAGTTAGCGACCCCAGTTAACCCCAGTTAACCCCAGTCAACCCCTGTTAACCTCCCCAGTAACTCCCAGTGCTCCCAGTTACTCCCAGTGAGCCTCTCCAGTGCTGCCCCCAGGGCTCCCAGTAATTCCCCCAGCAGCTCCCAGTTCCCCCCAGTCCCTCCCAGTACCCCCAATCCCTTCCATTCCCCTCCCAGTTCCCCCCAGTCCATCCCATTTCTCCCCCCCAGTCCCTCCCATTGCCCCCCCACCCTCCCAGTCCCTCCCATTCTCCCCCCAGTCCCTCCCAGTGCCCCCCAATCCCTTCCAGTTCCCCCAAGTCCCTCCCAGTCCATCCCATTTCTCCCCCCGAAGTCTCTCCCATTGCCCCCCCCACCCTCCCAGTCTCCCCAGTCCCCTCCCAGTCCATCCCAATTTTTCCCCCCAGTCCCTCCCATTGCCCCCCACCCTCCCAGTCCCTCCCAATCCCCTCCCAGTTCCCCCCCAGTACCCCCTCCGGTCCCTCCCAGTCCCCCCGCAGTTCTCCCCAGTCCCCTCCCCGTCCATCCCATTTCTCCCTCCCAGTTCCCCCCAGTCCCTCCCAGTCCCCCCAGTCCCACCTGCCGGGGGTGCCCCTCCCCAGGATCTCCTCCGGGGGGCGCTGCGGGGCCCGGGGCTGTTGTTGTTGTTGTCGTTGCTGGGGGCGCAGCGGGGGGAGCAGAAGATTTGCCCCCCCCGGGGCAGGAAGGGCCGGCCCAGCAGGGGGCGCCCGCAGGGGGCACAGCGGAAACAGCCGGGGAGGGGGTGCCAGTGCTGCCCCCTGTGGGTGACGTGGGGGTCCTGCAGGTCTGGGGACAATGGGGACACTGAGGGACAATGGGGACAGTGAGGGGACACTGGGGGTGCCAGTGCTGCCCCCTGTGGGTGACATGGGGGTCCTGCAGGTCTGGGGACAATGGGGACACTGAGGGGACAATGGGGACACTGGGGGTGCCAGTGCTGCCCCCTGTGGGTGACGTGGGGGTCCTGCAGGTCTGGGGACAATGGGGACAGTGAGGGGACAATGGGGACACTGGGGGGACAATGGGGACACTGGGGGTGCCAGTGCTGCCCCCTGTGGGTGACATGGGGGTCCTGCACCTCTGGGGACAGTGGGGGGACAGATGGGACAATGGGGACACTGAGGGAACCCCCAGACCACCCCAGGGACCCCCACGAATCCCCCCTGAACCCTTTTAGGACCCCTTGAGGATCTCCAAAGTCCCCTGGGGACCCTAAAACCCTCCCAGGGACCCCAAACTGCCCCAGGGGACCCCCTTAGGACCCCCAAAACTTCCCTGGGGACCCTCTTAGGATCCCCTGGGGACCGCAATGAATCCCCCCTGGGGACCCCCAAACTGCTCCTGGGACCCCCAAATTCCCCTACAGATCCCCAAACCCCCCCTGGACACTCCCTTAGGATCCCCAGGGACCCCCATGTACCCCCCTGGGCACCCCAAACCCCCCTGGGGACCCTCTTAGGACCCCTGGGACCCACAAGCCCCTCCTGAGGACTCCTTTAGGACCCCCTGGACACCCCCAAATCCTCCGGGACACCCCCAAAACTTCCCCTGGGGATCTCCAAAACCACCCCTGGACACCCCCAAACCCTTCAGGGCCTTCTCTTAGGACCCCTTTAGGACCCCCAAGCCCCTCCTGAGGACCCCTTTAGGACCCCCACAAATCCTCCTGGACGCCCCCAAACCATCCCTGGGACCCCCAAACCCCTCCAAGGATCCCCAAAACTTCCCCTGGGGTCCCCCAAACCCACCCGGGACACCCCCAAACCCTTCAGGGCCCTCTCTTAGGACCCCCAAGCCCCTCCTGAGGACCCCTTTAGGACCCCCAAATCCCCCGGGACACCCCCAAAACTTCCCCTGGGGACCCCCAAACCCCGCCTGGACACCCCCAAACCCTTCAGGGCCCTCTCTTAGGACCCCCAGGGACCCCCAGACCCGCCCGTGTCCCCCCTGTGGCCCCTCACCGATGGGGTCCCCGCAGGTGTCGCACAGGTGGGCGCGGCGGGCGCGGCAGGGGGGGCACAGGGGCTGCCCCTCCCCCCCGGGCAGGCTCTGGGGGTCCAGGGCCCCCTCGCACTCCAGGCAGCGCAGGTGACGCAGGTGCCAGCGGCGCCCCCCGGCCTCGGCCCAGCGCCCCCCGAAAATCAGCTGGGATGGGGGGGAAAGAGGGGGGTCAGGGATACAGAGACCCCAAAAATCAGATGGGATGGGGGAATAGAGGGGTCAGGGATACAGAGACCCCAAAAATCAGATGGGATGGGGGAAAGAGGGGGGTCAGGGACACAGAGACCCCAAAAATCAGCTGGGATGGGGGAAAGAGGGGGGTCAGGGATACAGAGACCCCCAAAAATCAGATGGGATGGGGGAAAGAGGGGGGTCAGGGATACAGAGACCCCCAAAAATCAGATGGGATGGGGGAAAGAGGGGGGTCAGGGACACAGAGACCCCAAAAATCAGATGGGATGGGGGGGTCAGGGATACAGAGACCCCCAGAGACCCCCAAAAATCAGCTGGGATGGGGGGGAAAGAGGGGTCAGGGACAAAGAGACCCCCAAAATCAGATGGGATGGGGGGGGAAAGAGGGGTCAGGGACACAGAGACCCCCCCAGAGACCCCAAAAATCAGCTGGGGGGGGAAAGAGGGGTCAGGGACAAGAGACCCCCACAGACCCCAAAAATCAGCTGGGATGGGGGGGAAAGAGGGGTCAGGGACACAGAGACCCCCAGAGACCCCAAAATCAGCTGGGAGGGGGAGAAAGAGGGGGTCAGGGATACAGAGACCCCCAAAAATCAGCTGGGGGAGCACGGGGGGGTCAGGGACACAGAGACCCCCAGAGACCCCTCAGAGCCCCCTAGAGAACCCCAAAAATCAGCTGGGAGGGGGAAAAGAGGAGGGGTCAGGGACACAGAGACCCCCCAAAAATCAGCTGGGGAGCACCAGGAGGAGATGGAGGAGTGCCCAGCACCCAAAGAACCCCTGAGCCACCCAAAACCACCCAGAGCACCCCATAACTGCCCACAGCACCCCATAACCCCCATCCCCACCCCACACCGCTTCACCTCGTCACAGCCAGGGCAGAGGTGTCCCCATGGGGCCACCCCATAACCACACTGAGCACCCCAAAACCACCCATACCCACCCCATAACCACACTGAGCACCCCATAACCACCCATACCCACCCCATAACCACACTGAGCACCCCAAAACCACCCATACCCACCCCATAACCACACTGAGCACCCCAAAACCAGCCATACCCACCCCATAACCACACTGAGCCCCCATAACCAGCCCTTCAGGACCCCATATGCCCCCCATAGCCACTGATAGCACCCCATAACCACCCCATAACTGCCCATAGCACCCCATAAGCACCCCATAACCACAGTCAGCACCCCACAGCACCCCATACCCACCCTGAGCACCCCTTAACCACCCCTTAACCACCCCATAACCACCTCATAACCACCCCATACCCAGCCCTTCAGGACCCCATATCCCCCGTACCTCGTCGCAGCCGGGGCAGCGGTGCCGCACGCTGTCCCCATGGTGCTGCCCCATAACCACACTGAGCACCCATAACTGCCCATAGCACCCCATAACCACCCCATAGCACCCCATAACCACCCCATAACCACACTGAGCACCCCATACCCACCCCATAACCACCCTCTGCACCCCATAACCACCCCTTCAGGACCCCATATCCCTCCCATAGCCAGTGATAGCACCCCATAACCACCCCATAACTGCCCATAGCACCCCATAACCACCCCATAACCACCCCATACCCACCCTGAGCCCCCCATAACCAGCCCTTCAAGACCCCCTACCCCCCGTACCTCATCGCAGCCGGGGCAGCGGTGCCGCACGCTGTCCCCGTGGTGCTGCCCCATAACCACATTGAGCACCCCATAACCACCCCATAACTGCCCCATACCCACCCATATCCCCCCATTCCCCGGTACCTCGTCGCAGCCGGGGCAGCGGTGCCGCACGCTGTCCCCGTGGTGCTGCCCATAACCACACTGAGCACCCCATACCCACCCCATAACCACACTGAGCACCCCATTACTGCCCTGAGCACCACATCCCCACCCCATAACCACTGATAGCACCCCATAACCACCCCATAACCACCCCATACCCAGCCTGAGCCCCCATACCCACTCTGAGCCCCCCATACCCCCCGTACCTCATCGCAGCTGGGGCAGCGGTGCCGCACGCTGTCCCCGTGGTGCTGCCCCATAACCACACTGAGCACCCATAACTGCCCATAGCACCCCATAACCACCCCATACCCAGCCCTTCAGGACCCCATACCCACCCTGAGCCCCCCATACCCCCGTACCTCGTCGCAGCCGGGGCAGCGGTGCCGCACGCTGTCCCCATGGTGCTGCCCCATAACCACACTGAGCCCCCCCATAACCACCCCATACCCACCCATATCCCCCCATACCCCCGCACCTCGTCGCAGCCGGGGCAGCGGTGCCGCACGTTGTCCCCGTGGTGCTGCCCCATAACCACATTGAGCACCCCATAACCACCCCATAACTGCCCCATATCCCCCGTACCTCGTCGCAGCCGGGGCAGCGGTGCCGCACGCTGTCCCCGTGGTGCCGCCCGCACAGCAGCCGCCCGCTGTCGCCGGGGCAGAAGTAGATGAGGTCCACGAGGGGCTGCTGGCACTGCTGGCAGCGGAAGCAGCGCGGGTGCCAGCACAGCCCGAGCCCCGCCCGCGCCGCGAACACGGCCAGGGCCCCGCCGCGCACCGCGGCCCCGCACTGCGGAACAACGGGACCGGGATGGCATCTGGGGCGGGAGCCGCCCTTTTACAGCCCCACAGACCTCGGACTGGGCAGTCAGGGGGGCTGGGATCTGGGGTGGGATCCGCCCTTTAACAGCCCCACAGACCTCGGACTGGGCAGTCAGGGGGGCTGGGATCCGGCTGGGATCCCCCCCTTTTACAGCCCCCCCACACCTCAGACTGGGCAGTCAGGGGGGGCTGGAATTGGGGGTGGGATCCCCCCATTTTACAGCCCCCCCACCCTCAGCCCGGGGAGTCAGGGGGGGCTGGAATTGGGGGTGGGATCCCCCCTTTTACAGCCTCCCACCCTTCAGCCTAAGGAGGTCAATGGGGCCAGAAATTGGAGGGCAACACCCCCCTTTTACAGCCCCCCACACCTCAGACTGGAGAGGTCAAGGGGGCCGGGAATTTGGGGTGGGATCCCCCCATTTTACAGCCCCCCACCCTTCAGTCCGGGGAGTCAGGGAGGGCTGGGATCTGGGGTGGGATCCCCCCATTTTAAACCCCTCACCCTTCAGCTGGGAAGTCGGGGGGTCCGGGAATTGGGGGGGTAACACCCCCATTTTATAGCCCCCCACCCTTCAGCCTGGGGAGGTCAAAGGGACCAGGATTTGGGGTGTGATCCCCCCCCTTTTACAGCCCCACCCCTCAGCCTGGGGTGGTCAAGGAGCGCCCAGAATTGGGGGGTAACACCCCCATTTTAAACCCCCCACCCTCAGCCTGGGGTGGTCAAAGGGGCCGGGAATTGGGGGGTAACACCCCCATTTTACAGCCCCCCATCCTCCAGCCTGGGGAGTCAGGGGGGGGCTGGAATTGGGGGTGGGATCCCCCCTTTTTACAGCCTCCCACCCTTCAGCCTAAGGAGGTCAATGGGGCCAGAAATTGGGGGGGCAACACCCCCCTTTTACAGCCCCCCACCCTCAGCCTGGAGAGGTCAAGGGGGCCGGGAATTTGGGGTGGGATCCCCCCATTTTACAGCCCCCCACCCTCAGCCTAGGAAGTCGGGTAGCCCGGGAATTGGGGGGTGACACCCCCATTTCCAGCCCCCCATCCCTTACAACAGGGGGTCAGGGGGCACCAGGAATTGGGGCCCATTTCTGCCCGTTTTTGGGGTGCCCGTTTTCTGCCCGTTTTTGGGGTGCCCGTTTAAGGGTGTTCATTTTTGGGGTTGCCCGGTTTTGGGGTGCCCGTTTTCTGCCCATTTTGGGGGGTGCCCGTTTTCAAGTTGCTGTTCTAGGGTGCTCATTTTTGGGGCACCCATTTTGAGGGTGCCCATTTTCTGCCCATTTTTTGGTGCCCATTTTGGGGTGCCCATTTTCTGCCCATTTTGAGGTTGCCCATTTTTGGGGTGCCCATTTTAGGGGTGCCATTTTTGAGGTGCCCATTTTGAGGTTGCCCATTTTTGGGGTGCCCATTTTTGGGGGTGCCCATTTTGGGGGTGCCGATTTTTGGGGTGCCCAGTTTCCGCCCATTTTTGGGGTGCCCATTTTCGGGGTGCCATTTTTGGGGTGCCCATTTTTTGCCCGTTTTGGGGATGCCCATTTTGGGGGTGCCCATTTTCTGCTCATTTTTGGGGTGCACATTTTGGGGGGTGCCCGGTTTCTGCCCTTTTTGGGGCTGCCCGATTTTGGGGGTGCCGATTTTGGGGTGCCCAGTTTCTGCCCATTTTGGGGGTGCCGATTTTTGGGGTGCCCAGTTTCCGCCCATTTTTGGGGTGCCCATTTTGGGGGTGCCCATTTTGGGGTGCCCAGTTTCCGCCCATTTTTGGGGTGCCCATTTTTCGCCCGTTTTGGGGATGCCCATTTTTGGGGTGCCCATTATGGGGGTGCCCATTTTCTGCTCATTTTTGGGGTGCACATTTTGGGGGTGCCCGGTTTCTGCCCTTTTTGGGGCTGCCCGATTTTGGGGTGCCGATTTTGGGGTGCCCAGTTTCTGCCCATTTTGGGGTGCCCATTTTTGGGGGTGCCCATTCTCTGTCCATTTTTGGGGTGCCATTTTGCAGGTGCCCATTTTCTGCCTATTTTGGGGGTGCCCATTTTGGGGGGGTGCCCATTTTGGGGGTGCCCGTGTTCACGTTGCTGTTCTAGGGTGCTCATTTTTGGGGTTCCATTTTGAGGCTGCCCGTTTTTTGGTGCCCATTTTGGGGTGCCCATTTTGGGGGTGCCCATTTTGGGGGTGCCCATTTTCTGCCCATTTTGGGGGTGCCCATTTTTGGGTTGCCCGGTTTCTGCCCATTTTGGGTTGCCCAGTTTTAGGGTGCCCGTTTTCTGCCATTTTTGGGGTACCCATTTTTGGGGTGCCCGGTTTCTGCCCATTTTGGGGGTGCCCATTTTGGGGGTGCCCATTTTTGAGGTGCCCGGTTTCTGCCCATTTTGGGGTGCCCATTTTCTGCCCATTTTGGAGGTGCCCGTTTTCGGGGTGCCCATTTTCTGCCCATTTTTGGGTTGCCCATTTTGGGGGTGCCATTTTCGGGGTGCCCATTTTAAGGGTGCCCATTTTAAGGGTGCCCATTTTGGGGTGCCCATTTTTGGGGTGCCCCCACCTGCTGGCAGACGGCCCCCGCGCTGGTGAGGGGGAGGGGCCGGACGCTCCCTTGCCCCAAATTTTCCCGTTTCCGGCGTTGGGCGAAAAGTTTCAGCTCCCGACGCTCGGCCTCGTCCAGGTCGTGGCAAAACTGGGGCTGGGGGAGGGGCGGGAGAACCTCAGACCACCCCAAAAACCCCCAAAATACCCCCAAATACCCCAAAAATACCTAAGGACACCAAATGCACCCCAAAACTACCTGGAAACACCAAATCCGCCCCCAAAAACCCAACCCAAAATCAGTTCAAAAATACCCTTGAACAACAGAAATCCGCACCAAAAATGCCCTCAAAGAACCCAAATCCACCCTAAAAACACCTCAAGCCCAAATCCACCCTAAAACATCCTTGAACAACCCAAAACTGCCCCAAAACCGCCCTCGAACGACCCAAAACCACCCCAAAAATGCCTTAGGACAACCCAAAACCACCCTAAAACAACCAAAAAATACAAGAAAACACACACAAACGCCCTGAAATAACCCAATTATCCCAAAACACCCCAAATCACACCCCAAACACCCCAAAAAACTGCTTTGTAGCACCGAAACCTCCCCAAATACCCCAAACCCCCCACCCCAAAACCACTTTATAACCATCCAAAATCACCCCAAATTCCCAAAATCCCCCCCCCAAACCACTCTGTACCATCCAAAACTGCCCCAAATTCCCAAAATCCCCCCAAAAACCACTTTGTACCATCCAAAATCTGCCAAATACCCTAAAGCCCCCCCAAAAAACAGTTTGTACCATCCAACCCCCCCAAAAACCATTGTGTACCCTCCAAAATGTCCTCAAACACCCCCAAACCCCCCAAAACGGCTTTTGTACCACCCAAAACCACCCCAAATTCCCCACACACCACTTTATAGCATCTCAAAACACCTCAAATTCCCCAAAAATCCCCCAAAAAAAACATTTTGTACCATCCAAAACTGCCCCAAATTCCCCCAAAATCCCCCCAAAACCCATTTTGTACCAGCCAAAATCACCCCAAATACCCCAAAACCTCCCCAAAAACCACTTTGCACCATCCAAAACCACCCCAAACACCACTTTAGAGCATCCCAAAACCACCCCAAAACCACTTTGTATCATCCAAAACTGCCCCAAATACCCCAAAACCCGCTTTATAGCATCCAAAACTGCCCCAAATACCCCAAAACCCACTTTATAGCATCCCAAAACCACCCCAAAAACCACTTTGTACCATCCAAAACCTCCCCAAACACCCCAAACACCAGTTTATAGCATCCCAAAACCACCCCAAATACCCCAAAACCACTTTGCACCATCCAAAACCGCCCCAAATACCCCAAAACCCCCCCAAAACCACTTTATAGCACCCCAAATCACCCCAAATCCCCTAAAACCACTTTGTACCATCCAAAACTGCCCCAAACACCACTTTGCACCATCCAAAATCACCCCAAATACCCCAAACCGCCCCTAAAACCCACTTTGTATCATCCAAAACCATCCCAAACACCCCAAACGCCACTTTAGAGCATCCCAAAACCACTTTGTACCATCCAAAACCGCCCCAAATCCCCCAAAACCCCGTTTGCACCATCCAAAACCGCCCCGAACACCCCAACCATCACTTTATAGCATCCCAAAACCACCCCAAATCCCCCAAAACCCCGTTTGTACCATCCAAAACCACCCCAAATACCCCCAAACCCCCCCAAAACCACTTTATAGCATCCCAAATCACCCCAAATCCCCCAAAACCACTTTGTTCCATCCAAAACTGCCCCAAATTCCCCAAACTCCCCCAAAAGCCCATTTGTACCATCCAAAACCACCCCAACCATCACTTTATCGCATCTCAAAACCGCCCCAAATACCCAAACCCCGCCTTTAAAATTGCCCAGAAAAAGCCCCAAACCCAGCTCCGAACGCCCAGAACGGCCCCAAACCCGCCCCAAACCCGCCCCAAACCCGGCCCCGGTCCCCCCGGTGCCCCCGGAGCCCCCGGCCCCGCTCACCTCGAGGTCGTGCGGGGGCAGCTGCCGGAGCAGCTCCCGCAGCCGGTGCCGCTCCCCCGGGGCTGCGCAGCCGCGGCACCAGCGCGGGCGGGGAGCAGCGCGAAATACTGACACACCCTGGGGGCGGGGCTTAATGGGGCGGGGCTCAGCGGGGCGGGGCTTAGCGCGAAATACTGACACACCTGGGGGCGGGGCTTAATGGGGCGGGGCTCAGCGGGGCGGGGCTTAGCGCGAAATACTGACACACCTGGGGCGGGGCTTAATGGGGCGGGGCTCAGCGGGGGCGGGGGCTTAGCGCGAAATACTGACACACCTGGGGGCGGGGCTTAATGGGGCGGGGCTCAGCGGGGCGGGGGCTTAGCGCGAAATACTGACACACCTGGGGGCGGGGGCTTAATGGGGCGGGGCTTAGAGCGAAATACTGACACACCTGGGGGCGGGGCTTAATGGGGCGGGGCTTAGCGGGGCGGGGCTTAGAGCGAAATACTGACAGACCTGGGGGCGGGGCTTAATGGGGCGGGGCTGAGCGCGAAATACTGACACACCTGGGGGCGGGGCTTAATGGGGCGGGGCTCAGCGGGGCGGGGCTTAGAGCGAAATACTGACACACCTGGGGGCGGGGCTTAATGGGGCGGGGCTCAGCGGGGCGGGGCTTAGAGCGAAATACTGACACACCTGGGGGCGGGGCTTAGCGGGGCGGGGGCTTAGAGCGAAATACTGACACACCTGGGGGCGGGGCTTAACGGGGCGGGGCTTTAGAGCGAAATACTGACACACCTGGGGGCGGGGCTTAATGGGGCGGGACTGAGGGGGCGGGGGCTTAGAGCGAAATACTGACACACCTGGGGGCGGGGCTTAATGGGGCGGGGCTGAGCGCGAAATACTGACACACCTGGGGGCGGGGCTTAATGGGGCGGGGCTTAGAGCGAAATACTGACACACCTGGGGGCGGGGCTTAATGGGGCGGGGCTCAGCGGGGCGGGGCTTAGAGCGAAATACTGACACACCTGGGGGCGGGGGCTTAGCGGGCGCGGGGCTCAGCAGGGCGGGGCTTAGCGCGAAATACTGACAGACCTGGGGGCGGGGCTTAGCGGGGGCGGGGCTGAGGGGGCGGGGCTGAACGGGAGCGGTGAGAAATACTGACAGAAATGGGGCGGGGCTTAATGGGGCGGGGCTTAATGGGGCGGGGCTTAACGTGAAATTCTGACAGACCTGGGGGCGGGGCTTAATGGGGCAGGGCTAAATGGGAGCAGCGAGAAGAACTGACACACCTGTAAAGGGGTCGGGGCTAAATGGGGTGGGGCAGGCGGGGGCAGGGCTTAATGGGGCGTGGCTAAACAGGGCGGGGCTTAATGGGAGCAGTGAGAAGTACTGGCACACCTGGGGGCGGGGCTTAATGGGGCAGAGTGTAATGGGAGCAGCAAAAAGAATGGGCACACGTGACCGGGGCAAGACTTAGTGGGGCGGGGCTAAATGGGGCGGGGACTTAGCAGGGTGGGGCTGGACAGCAATACCTGGGAGGGGTGGGGCTTAGTGGGGCGGGGGCTTAGCAAGGTGTGGCACAAGGGGTGGGGCTTAGTGGGGTGTGGCCTATGTGGAGCAGGTGGGAGGAGTACTGGGACACCTGGAGAGGGCGGGGCTAAGATGTTTGCCATGGGTGGGGCTTCAGAGGGGTGTCCCACGATGGGCGGGGCTTGGAGGGGTGTGGCCCAGTGGGCGGGGTTTGATGGGACAGGTGTGAGAGGCACAGGGTCAGTTGTGAGAAAGGGGGTGGGGCTTAAGTGGGCGTGACTGGGCAGGGTGGGGCTGATTGGGTGGGGCCTCACTGGGGGTCTGACTTCACCAGTGGGTGGGGCCTGGAGGGGGTGTGGCCGATGGGGGCGGGGTTTGGATGGGGCGGGGCTTCACTGGGGGAGGGGTGAGAAACACCTGAGGGAAAATGGGGGGCGGGGCTTATGGGGCGGGGCCTCAACAGAGTGGGAGCTGCTGTGGCAGGTGGGCGGGGGTTTCCTGCACAAGGGGTGGGGCTTCAGAGGGTGGGCGGGCCTTGTTTGCATGGGCATGGCCTGGCCAGGGGGCGGGGCTTGGCTCAGGGCAAGGGGATCTCTGGGGTGGGCGGGGCCTGGGTGGGATTGGGGTGGGGTTTGTGGGGGTCAGGGCTCCATGAGGGGGGACCCCAAGGGAATTGAGGTCGGGGGGGGTCTTGGGGGGGTCAGAACATTTTGGGGAACATGGATTGGGGGGGTCCCCATCCCTGGGCTGTTTTGGGGGTCCCAGGGGGTTTGGGGGGGCGCAGATGGGGGGGGTCTTCATCCCTGGGGTGTTTCGGGTCCCCGGGGTATTTTGGGGGTCCCGGGGGGTTTTGGGGGGCACAGATGGGGGGGGGGTTTCAATCCCTGGGGTGTTTGGGGGTCCCAGGGGGTTTTGGGGTCCCCGGGGGTGTTTCGGGGTTCCCGGGGGTCCCCGGGGGGTTTGGGGTCCCGAGGGTGCTTTGGGGTCCCGGGGGGTTTTGGGGGGCACAGATGGGGGGGGGGTCTCCATCCCTGGGGGGTCTCCATCCCTGGGGTCCCGAGGGTGGTTTGGGGGTCCCGGGGGTGGTTTGGGGTTCCCGGGGTATTTTGGGGTCCCCGGGGGGGTTTTGGGGTCCCTGGGGTGTTTGGAGTCCCTGGGGGTATTTTGGGGTCCCCGGGGTGTTTTGGGGTCCCCGGGGGGTGTTTTTGGGGTGCCCGGGGTTACCTGGTCAGGGCTGAGGCCGGGGGGGGGCCCAGGCGAACTCCTCGGCCGAGCACCCCGAATCCTCGGAGCCGGGGGGGGGGTGGGACTCGGGGAGCAGCCGGGCCAGGACCCCCTGCAGGGCCGGGGGGACCCCGCCCCCCACGTGCTCCCCCGCGGGCATTTGCAGTGCAGGCAGAGCTTCCTGGGGCGGGGGACCCCGAAACGCCGTCAGGGGGACCCCAAAATCTGGGCATGGGGCGCCCTGAAATCTGGGGATGGGGCTCCCCAAAATTCACCATGGGGCAGCCCAAATAGGGTCAGGGGGCGCCCCAAAATCTGTAATGGGGACACCCTAAATTCCAGGAATGTGGGCACCCCGAAGTCTGGGGATAGGGCACCCCAAATAAGGTGAAGGGAATCCCCGAAATATGGTTGGGGGGGCCCAAAAATCCAGGAATGTAGGACCCCAAAATATGATAATGGGACACCCCAAAATTCGGTCAGGGCGCACCCCGAAATCTGGGGATGAGGCACCCTAAAATCTGGTCATGGGGACCCCAAAATACGGTCAGGGGGACCCCCGAAATACAGTCAGGGGCACCCGAAAATAGGGTCAGGGGCTCCCCAAAATCCGTAATGGGGACACCCTAAAATCCAGGAATGTGGGCAACCCAAAATTCGGTCAGGAGCACCCCAAAATCTGGGGATAGGGCACCCTAAAATCTGGTCATGGGGACCCCAAAATTTGGTAGTGGGGCACCCCAAAATCCAGGAATGGGGGCACCCCCAAAATCTGAAAAGGGGCACCACAAAATCTGTAATGGGACACCTCAAAATGTGATAATCGGGGGCACCCCAAAATCCGTTAATGGGGACACCCCAATATTCCCCTCCCAGCTCAGGGGCACCCCAAAATCCCCCTCCCACCAGGGGGGACACCCCAAAACCCTCATCCCATGCAAGGGGGGTGATGTCGGACACCCCAAAACCGCCCTCCCAGCCCCTGGGGGTGATGTGAGACACCCCAAAACCCCCGTCCCACCCTAGGGACACCCCAAAATCCCCCTCCCAGCCCGGGGCACCCCAAAAGCGGCCTCACCTCCAGGGGTGCTCCTGGAAGCCCGGGCAGAGCTCCCGGCACACCCGGCACGGCCGCCCCCGCTCGGGGTCCTGGGCCTGGGGCACAGCGGGGTCAGGGGCACCCCAAAATCCCCGCCCATCCCAGGGGGGGTCAGGGGCACCCCAAAATCCCCGCCCATCCCAGGGGGGTCAGGGGCACCCCAAAATCCCCCTCCCATCCCAGGGGCACCCCAAAAATCCCCTCCCATCCCAGGGGGGTCAGGGGGACCCCAAAACCCCCTCCCATCCCAGGGGGGGCACAGCGGGGTCAGGGGGACCCCAAAATCCCCTTCCCATCCCAGGGCACCCCAAAATCCCCCTCCTATCCAGCGGGGTCAGGGGCACCCCCAAAATCCCCTTCCCATCCAGGGGGGTCAGGGGCACCCCAAAATCCCCGCCCATCCCAGGGGGGTCAGGGGAACCCCAAAATCCCCTCCTATCCCAGGGGGTCAGGGGCACCCCAAAATCCCCCTCCCATCCCAGCGGGGCACAGCGGGGGACCCCAAAATCCCCTCCCATCCCAGGGGGCCGGGGGGAACCCAAAAACGGTCTGGGGGGGACACTCCAAAAACAGCCAGGAGGGATGGCAGGGACACCCCAAAATGCTGGGGGGGCTGGGGGGCAACAGCCCAAAAATGGGGTCCGGGGGGGCATCAAAATGGGGGGGGGTGGGCAGGAAAATGGGGGGGGTGGGCAGTAAATGAGGCCAGGGGGGCCGGGGGGGCCACGCCAGAAATGGGGGGGGGTCTGTGGGTGGGCACACGTGGGATCGGGGGAAAACCCCAAAAATGGGGTCAGGGATGGGTGGGGGGAACCCCCGAAATGGGGCGGGGGGTTGGGGTTCACCCCCTAAGCCCCCCAACCCTACAGCCCCCCTCCAACCCCACAGGCCCTTCCTGGAGCCCCTTTGAGACCCCCGACAGACCCCCCCATGGCCCCTCCCGCAGAGCCCCCCGAGACCCCAACGCGCCCCCAAAGCTGCTCCACAGGGCCCCCAAAACCCCAGAGCCCCCCAAGGTGCCCCCAGGGCCCCCCAAAACCCCCCAGGGCCCCCCAAAACCCCCCAGAGCCCCCCCCGGCTCCCCCGGCCCTCACGGCTCGCTCCGATCGCCGCCGCCGGGACCCCCGGGTGAACATGGCGGGCCTTGGACACGCCCCCGACACGCCCCCAGCACTGGCCACGCCCTCACCTGAGGGAGGCCCCGCCCCTTCAGGTAGATGGCGAGTTAAGCCCCGCCCATCGCCACGAGGCCATGCCCCCACCGGAGCCGCCTTTGGGGCCCTCCAAACCCCGCCCCCAGCGGCGCTGGCCACGCCCACAGCGCTGGCCACGCCCCTCGGTCAGAGCTGGGCGGGCTCGGGGGCTCTGAGGGGGGGCGAAGTTTGGGGGGTTCGGGGGTTTTGGGAGATTTGAGGTTGGGGTTCGGGGTTTTGGGGTTCGGGGGTTTGGGGGGGTTCGGGGAGTTTTGGGGGTTTGGGGGTTCGGGATTTGAGGGGTTCGGGGGTGTTCGAGGGTTTGGGGGTTCGGGGTTTGGGGGGGTTCGGGTGCGTTTGGGGGGGGTTTGGGTGCCCAGGGGGTTCAGGAATTGGGGGGTTTGGGGGGCTCTGGGGCGGGGGGATTCAGGGGCTCAGGGGTTTGTGGGTTAAGGGTTTGGGGGTTCGGAGCTTGAGGGGTTCGGGGGGGTTCGGGGCGTTTGGGGGTTCGCGGTTTGAGGGGTGCGGGGGGGTTTGAAGTGTTCAGGGTTTCTGGGGGTTTGGGGGTTCGGGGTTTGGGGGTTCTGGGGTGTGTGACGGGTTCGGGGGTTTGGGAGATTTGGGATTTGGGCGTTCGGGGCTTCGGGGGGCTCGGAGGTGGAGGGGTTCAGGGGTTTTGGGGTTCAGGGGTTCGGGGTTTGGGGTTTTTGGGGCTCTGAGGTTTGGGGGTTCGGGGGTTTGGGGGGTCTCGGGGCTTTGTGGGTTCGCGGTTTTGGGGGTTCAGGGATTCAGGGGTTGGAGGTTTGAGGGGTTCGGGGGGTTCAGGGTTTGAGGGGTTCAGTGGTGTTTGGAGGGTTCAGAGGTTTGGGGGGTTTGGGGGTTCGGGGGATTCAGGGGCTTGGGGGGGGGTCCAGGAATTCGGGTGTATTGGGGGGCTCTGGGGTGGGGGGGGGTTTGGGGGCTCAGGGGATTCGGGGGGGTTCAGGGGTTCAGAGGGTTTTGGGGGTTCGGGGGGGCTTGGAGGGTTCAGTGTTTTGGGGGTTCAGGTGTTGGGAGGGTTCGGGGAGGTTTTGGGGTTCAGGGGTTGGGGGATCTCGAGGGTTTGTGGGTTCGGGAGATTCGGAGGCTTGGGGGGGTTCAGGGATTCGGGGGTTTTGGGGGGCTCAGGGGTTTTGGGGGGTTCAGGGTTTGTGGGTTCCAGGTTTTGGGGATTCTGGGGGGTTCGGGATTTGAGGGGTTTTGGGGGGCTCAGGGGGTTTTGGGGGGTCGGGGTTTGAGGGGTTTTGGGGGGCTCAGGGGTTTTGGGGGTTCGGGGTTTGTGGGTTCCAGGTTTTGGGGATTCTGGGGGGTTCGGATTTGAGGGGTTTTGGGGGGCTCAGGGGTTTTGGGGTCTCAGAGGGTTCAGGGGGTTTGGGGGTCTCGGGATTTTGGGGGTGCTCGGTGGGACCAGGGAATTTTGAGATTTTGGGGGCGTTCAGGGCATTTTTGGGGCTTCGGGGCCGATTTGTTCAGATGGGCGTGGCCGTGGGCGGAGCCTCTGCTGCCCAAGCCCCGCCCCCCCGGGGCTTATCGGGTTTTTTTGGGGGGGCCCCGGTTTGGGGGGGGCCCCAGTGCTCGTTGTTCGTCCTCAGCGCGGACAACAGGTGAGGAACGGGGGATTTGGGGCTTTTTTGGGGGAATTTGGGGGATTTGGGGGCGACTTTGGGGGGATTTTGTGGGAATTGTGGGGGTTTTGTGGAGTTTTGGGGGGATTTTTGGCGGTGGTTTTGGGCGATTTGGGGGTATTTGGGGGATTTTGGTGGATTTTGGAGAGGGTTTGGGGAGCATTTTTGGGGATTTTGGGGAAATTTTGTGGGGATTGTGGGGGATTTTGAGGGGTTTCATGGGGATTTTTAGTGGTGGTTTCGGGGGATTTTGTGGAGTTTTGGGGGATTTGGGGAGATTTTGGTGGATTTTGGAGGGGTTTGGGGAGACTCAGGGGCATCTTGGAGGGATTTGGGGATTTTGGGGGGTTTTGAGGGGATTTTGGGGATTTTGGACGGTGGTTTTGGGGAGATTTGGGGGATTTTAGAGGGATTTGGGGGGTTTTAGGGCATTTTGGGAGGTTTAGGGGCATTTTGGGGGGATTTAGGGGGTTGGGTGATTTTGGGGGGTTTTGAGGGGATTTTGGATGGTGGTTTTGGGGGCATTTGGGAGAGTTTTGCTCGATATGGGGAATTTTGGGGGTTTCTGGAAGATTTTGGGAGATTTCTGAGGATTTTGGGGGTTTCTGGGGGATTTGGGAGGATTTTTGAGGGATTCTGGGGGATTCTGAGGGATTTGGGGAGATTTTTGGGGGATTTTGAGGGATTTTGGAGATTTTTAGGGATTTTGGGGGATTTTGGGAGATTTTTGAGGGATTTTGGGGAATTTTGGGAGATTTTTGAGGGATTTTGAGGGATTTTGGGGAATTTTGGGAGATTTTTGAGGGATTTTGGGGCATTTTGGGAGATTTTTGATTTTGGGGCATTTTTTGAGGGATTTTGGGGTTTCTGGGGGATTTTGGGAGATTTTTGAGGGATTTTGGGGCATTTTTGAGGGATTTTGGGGTATTTTGGGAGATTTTGAGGGATTTTGGGGGATTTTGATGGATTTTGGGGGATTTTTGAGGGATTTTGGGGATTCTGAGGATTTTGGGGGATTTTTGGGGATTTTGGGAGATTCTGGGGATTTTTGAGGGATTTTGGGAATTTGGGGGAATTTTTGAGGGTTTTGGGGATTTTTGAGGGTTTTGGGGGATTTTGGGGATTTTAGGGATTTTTGGGAGATTTTTGAGGGATTTTGGGGGCCGGGGGTGTCTGTGGGAATCCCCGGCCCCCCCTCCTGAGCTCCCCCCGGAATTTGGGGGTCCCCGGGCCCCCCCAAAACCCCAAAACTTCCCCCAAAAATCTCTCGGCGGGAGAAAAGGGAAACTGGGGGGGTCCTGCACCCCAAAATCCCCCCGAGACCCCAAAGTGCTTCCGGGACCCCATTTTGGGGAAGGGTTGGGGGTTTTGGGGTTTTTGGGGTTTTTTTGGGGGTTTTTGATTTTTTGAGGTTTTGGGTGTTTGGTGTTTTGGGATTTTGGGGGGATTTGTGGATTTTTTGGGGGTTTCTCGGTTTTGGGATTTTTTTTGGGTTTTTTGGGGACTTTGGCGGTTTTTGGGTTTGGCGGCTTGGGGGATTTGGGGTTTTTTGAGGGATTTTGGGTTGTTTTGGGATTTCTTTTTAGTTTTGGGGTTTTAGGGGTGTTTGGGGGTGTTTGGGGGTTTTGGGGGATTTGGACTTTTGGGCGATTTTGGGATTTTTTGAGAGTTTCTGGGTTTTGGATTTTGGGGGGGGGGTTGGAATTTTGGGGGGTTTTGGGCTCTGGGGGGATTTGGCGAATTTGGGGTTTTGGGGATTTTGGGGGGATTTTATGGGGTTTTTCCGGATTTTTTTGTTTTGTTTTTGTGTTCTTGGTGTTTTTGGGGTTTGAGGGGTTTTGGGTTTGGGGATTTTGGGGTTTTTTGGGATTTTGGGGTGGTTTTTTTGAGGTTTTTAGGGTTTGGGGGATTTGGGTTTTTTTGGGGTTTTGGGGGATTTTATGGGTTTTTTGCGGATTTTTTTGTTTTGTTTTGGGTTTTTGGGGTTTGGGGTTTGAGGTGTTGTGGGTTGTGGGGATTTTGGTGGTTTTTGGGGATTTTGGGTTTTTTTTGAGGTTTTTAGGGGTTTTGGGGATTTTGGTTTTTTGGGGGATTTTGGGTTTTTTTTTTTAGGTTTTTAGGGTTTTGGGGAATTTTTGGGGTTTTTTGAGAATTTTGGGGTTTTTTTTTTGAGGTTTTAGGGTTTTTATGATTTTGGGTTTTTTGGGTGATTTTGGTGGTTTTTTTGAGGGTTTTTAGGTGTTTTGGGGGATTTTGGGTGGGTTTTTTTCTTTTTTTGGAAAATTTTTTTTTTATTTATAATTCTA